TGACTTACGCACGATGTTTCGAATTGGCCACGAACGAATAAAACCTATTGCTGACATTTTTTTTAAACTTGCGTTAATTAATGAAATATCAGTACCTCTAGTAGGAAAAACTTTCGAGTTCGTTTCGTTGCGTATTCAAAGTGTCATCGAAAAATTTTGTATGAAAAATTAAACAGCGCCCCCTATATTATAGCCGCCCTAGGAAACGAAACGAACTCGAAAGTTTTTCCTACTAGAGGTACTGGTACCTAATGGAGATTTTACGCGATACAATTTCAAATGAGTACGTTCAAGAATGTATCTAACATTTTTATGTATATTAGAAAAATAAAATGGAACCGGTCGAATCGCATAGGACGCCGGATTTTATTAGCAAAACACGTGAGTTACATCATCAAGTCTATTTATGAATAAACTTTGTTAATTTCTCTATAGATTAGATATTTTTTAAATAATGCTTATTCTAAAATCGACCACTTGGAACGATATACAGACGCTACCAACCGGGCGATATGGAAACCATTGGGGGATGCCTATATTGCGGCGCTTCTTCTCTGCACTAGCCAAATGTTTGTCTCGAAGTGCTGGTAGGGCAAAAAAATGAGACATGATGTATAGGCTCCGAGCATTTGACGATTTGTTAGTACTAATTAATTAGTCTATACTAATAAAGATAATTTTGATTTTGATTTTTGATTTTTATGTTTTATTATAATAATTATTAAGTGAGCAGAGATCCAAAATTAATTTATCACAACTACACTTGTCTTGTCACTATAATGAGTATTCACTCCCTACTTCAAATTATTTCGTTAATTAAACTATAAAGATAGATAATTATAATTAGGTACCCACTTAAAATCAACAAAGTACATACTTAATCACATGATTTTTTATGGATCAAAACAATATGAGATGCGCATCTAAAATGCAATGAAACTTAATTAATGTGATATGTCTCGTTCTAGTCCTCTCAGCTAGCGCAGAGCCGATAAATGACTGTAATGATCTGAACGTGGACACGAAATTACATAACAGCCAACAATACCGTCTATTGTCCAACTGTAGTATGTTACCGATTGATTTGTCCACGACATGTGCATCCTCATAAAACCAGATTAGACTCTATCTGCACCGCTCATCGATAGAGTTTTATCCTTGTACCAATAACAACAAGATTAAAAATCGAATACTTTATAAATATTATGACTTCAGTTTTTTTTTACTTTACAAAAAACTATTATTAATATACATTTCTATATAAATACATCCGGAATGTGCATTGCTTGTGATACCTATACTTAGACGTTTAGTTTGATTATAATATTTTATTTACGTTATTTATTATTGTCTCACAATTCATCCATTTGGGAGTAAGACTTTATTTACAACTAGCGGCCGCCCGCGACTTCGTACGCGTGGATCCCGTTTTACCCCCTTCATCTATCTTACGCGGTTTAGATTTTTTCATACAAATGTTTTTTCCCGCTAATTCCCGTTCCCGTTGGAATTTCGCAATATCCTGTTGTAACTAAGCTTTAAGTTTACTAAGGTCTAAACAAAATAAAAATATAAACTTATATTACTCAAAAATAAAAGTGTGTCCGTGAGGCAAAGAGGCGAGAATGCTGGCTGCATTTCCTCGCTGAATGGCAATACTAAGCCTTTGTGCAAGGAAAGAGCCAGCATTTAGATTTTCCGAAATTTTAATTAATTTAGGGGAAATGGTCCGAAACAGTAATTTAGCATTCGGTCCCCAAGGTCCGAAGGTCTCGACACCAAAAGGCGCAAATATGTAGTCATTAGAAAGTGACTCATATTTGCGCCGTTTGGCTAACTCAGCCGACTCTGCTGCAGCCCCAGCTTTAGCAACTGATTCCCTGAGGTGGGAAGGGGCTAAAGTATCGACACATGTAGCGTCCCAAACTAAAGCCCGTCCCCGTTCCCAGGGAACCAGAGTGAGACCATCAGGTCTCTTGCCATCATCACGGACCAATCCACGTGGTTCTAACGTGGAAGGAACGTTGATGCTGGCAAGGGCTCTCCTGATGGCGTCGTTGAGAGCAGCGTGTCGGGCGAGACGACCGGCACTTTGCTGGCAACATAGACCGTGGTGACCGAATTGTCTATTTATTTGCAAATAACTAGCGGATAATAGAGTAATCACTTAAGACAGATATATTTAAAATTGCAATAACAACATTATTTTTGTACAAATTAAATACGCTCTACCTAATGAACTGAGATTTTTTAATGCAGAATAAGGCAGGTATTTGACCGCAATCGCACCTGATGTCAAATGAGATGCAGTCTAGCTAGGATGGTACCTAAATGGATCGTGAAAAATAAAAGATGACCTATAAAACATTGGCCGTAATTTACAAAATAAATGTCAAAATCACGAGACAAAGTGATCCGCTCTACTTTTAAAACCCAGAAGGATAACCCTAAAACATGAAAATTTTCGAGAGTATTTTCATAAAATTTTAATATACCTACATTTATGTTATATGTCCTAGGCCATCCACAGTTAGAAGTCGAAGTGGTCGCCATAGCTGAAATCGGTCGGATCCTATCATATATCATCAGGATAACTATATCATCAGCATCATCATCATATTTACTCGTTTACTATCATATGGAGAACTGAATAATAGTAGGTCACCTAAATGTACCTTGATAGAGCAATAATTAAAGAGCGCATGACCGTTACTCAGTGCCCGAGCACAGATCAATACCGAACTACACGTAGTTTATTTATAGAACTATATGAAATTTCTATCTAGACCCAGATCAGGCTGAATGTTGCAAAGAGTTTGCTTTATTTAAAAATATTTTATAGGTTTTTGCGGATTTTCGCGAAGATTTGAAGGTTTTGTTTAACTGAAAACGTGACCTAATTATTGTTAGGTTTTTTTACTGACTTTAAGTATCTGTACTGAAAAAAAGTAACTGACTAATACTCGATCGGCGTCAAATAAATCGCACCTCCCGCGACAAGCACTTTCAAACGTATGCATCCCTACTTTCCATCAATATTGGTACCATTTGAAAGTCTTTTTACCCCAAAACTGGTGTCTTTAGAAAGATCCAGTGTCTCTTCTTAAAGCGACAGGTAGTTACGCTTGAGCCAACTTTTATGCTTAATGGAATAATCACTATCCACCTGTTAAAGAGGACACGTGAGTTAATTATTTGGTTTTATTACTACAAAAATTGGTCTAATTGGTCCCAGAGGTTAGCCCCGAGTGAGGCATTTTTCAAGTCAGATTTATATTATATCCTGCTAATGTTTAAGTATAAAAAAAAATTTTCTTTAAGTTTATTTATTGGGCTTTCACTAACACCAATATTGGTGGTGGGCCACCATGATTGTGACAGAACAAATTTTTTAAAGTTATTGTCGCGAGAGGTGCGATTTTTTTTATGCCGAGTGTATTTTTAAAAATCAATCGACCTTGGTAAAGAGGAAGCAATTTTTGCCTAAAATAGGAAACTATTCATAGAGCAATAAAAATTAAGTTCATCTCCGTTACCGTGGTTATGGGTAACCCCCGATCCCAAGTTTAGTATGGTTTTTTGTAAGTATGTATAATTTTTAATATGCATCAAACATATTGTTTTGTATCATGTTATAATCAATGTAGGATTTACTTCACGTGTGTAATGCACGTACCAACTTGAAACTGGTACCTGAAATTGAGCAGAGAGTTTGTCTACCCTGCGAGCCCGTGGGCACGTGTGAAGAAATAATCTGGTTTTGGAACTTTGTAATGTTACTCAATCATAATAGCGCCTCGGAATAAACGACAGACACCTGCACTCCGCAGTCGTAGTAGGTACATAATAAATAATAAAAATAATATGTAGAAGTCCTAGCAATATTAAGGTGCAGCTTGAAATAGTGTAAACAAGTTCAAAGTAGACTAAATGACCAGATGAGCAAGATGATGTCGTTTTCTTAAATGTAAGATAATGCTCTTAGTATAAATTTGTAAAAAAGGGCATAGGCATACGTACTTACAGCAATGTTTGATATTGTCATATAGCCCTATTAATATGCAGCTCAAGATTGGTTTTCATTAAATATAAACTTAGTCACTGAAGTTACTTGATTTATATGGTTCAGAGTTCTTACAAGAATATTTTAACCCTTTACCTACGGGCCCATGGAAACCAAAGTCGCCTCTCAATACGGGGTATTTTAACCTATAAAATTGTTTGATCCACTTTACATTAAGATATTTTAAAATGTATGAGACTACGGTATTAAAATTCGGAATATTATATTCTGCAACTAATGTAGTTTCATAATTACAAGCGCATTTTACACTTAATTTGCAATTTTATTGTTTTTTTGTCGTCAACCGTGATTTTAGTATTGGCTTTGCTAAAACAACAACATGCCACCCATATTGAGAAGTGACTTTTGACTTGGCAACAATAGGTGCCCATATGTAAGAGGTTAAGTTCTAAGTTAAACAATGACATCAAGTAAAAAAAAAACTATCAGAAAGCAAAAGCATTCAATGACGCCACTTTTTAACATAAATGATAGTTAATGTGGAACTGTCACTTGGTTACAACGACTATTAGTTTTTACCTGGCGTGTTAAATTACATAACATTAATTTATACCTGTAATCGGTGAACACTATACCTTCGTGCATTACTAATGAATTCCTTTAAAGCTTGACTCTACATTTCTTTCGTATTTAAATTCGAGTAGATACTCAAATTACTTAAAATGTAAAGATGCACATTTTTTATTGATAAACTAAAAATGGGTAGTACTATCGCATTTTGCGAGCTTTTCGGGGCATGAGCCTTATTTGGCGCGTCGTCAAAAAACAAAAGGTAGGCGCAGGTCGTAAGTGCAACCAGTGCGCATGCGCCATTATGCGACATGTCGCCGGGGCCGGTGCGAGCTGTATGCGCGTTGACATAACCTTGCTGGCCTGACCAGACGGTGAGTCTCATCTCTATGGATATATAAGAGGCTTACCACGGCCCGCCGTGACACTTGCCGCTACGCATCTCTTCATCCGGTTGGGGCAACAGGCTTCAACATGAATGGTTCAACGTGGATTTTGGTACGTAATATTTTTAATTTCCATAAGAGTTTTTGCCGTGATTTACAGAGTTTTATTGTTCTGTGAAATCGATATTGTTTTAAAAGATCACCGATACCAATATGTCAACCAGCTTTCAAAAGTTTAACACATTTTATACATTTTCGGTAAAACAGTGATGTGCGTTAAAAAATCTTAAGGAGCAGATTAATGTACTTCTTGCCTTTAAATGTAGGCCGTTAACAATCAATTAACAAATGACTCGGTTTAGAAATAAATACTGATAACATACTTAAGTACAGTATATGTATTAGTAGTTCAAACTAGGTAATTAGATACGCACTGCACACTCTTAACAATTGTTTTTCCTATGTTTGAAAGCTTTTGTTAAAAGCTTTTACTTCTTTGGTTGAAAACTAAGCGATTGACTCTATCGAACTTATACGCTTTGCGAATTTACTAACCACTTAAATATCACCTATCAATCATACTTTATTTTTAACATGTATCAGATATCAGAGGTCTAAAAATAGAGTTTCGTGTTCGTGAAAAAAACCTGTTGAAAAACAATACGTCATTGAATTTTATAGGTATCAGAATGCATTGTTAATCTTCTCAATCAAACAATGCATTCTCTAACATGGCTATGACGGGAAAAAAATAAGCGAAATAAATATATGAGATGGGTACTTACTCGTACCAAAGTTTGCTTTTCCTCTGATCGCTTCAATTTGTATTTCACATACCTAGAGCAGTCTAAATTATTTCTTAATAACTCTAATATAATATAATAAAATAGTGTTTGATTTGTTTAAAGGAATACTTAAGTATAAAAGTTAAATAACACAAACGTCAAAGACCAATGCAGCTAAATTCCATCAAAAGCTTTCGTAGCTTTGCAAAAGCTTTTCAAAGCGTGAAGCGTGAAAGCATCAAAGAGGTGTAATTTTTATGACTTAATGATGTTCTATTAAAGACAATTAATGTTTTAATATAATAATATAAATGTTCCTGAAAAAGCTTTAAGCTCATGTAATACTTTGTATGAAAATTGGGGCTATAAGATCGGATTTATTAAATTAAATCCACAACAACCCTTGTAAGTAAATTATAGAACATTTTCAGTTCTATTACTCGTATTATAAGTAAATTATTAAAGGAGCTTTTGTTTAAAAAACAAAAGTCGACGTAATCAATATAGTTAGTTAAATTTTTTCCTATCTGTTTGTTTGCTAATCTTAACAATATAGGTATTATGCTTTTTACAGCTTCATTATACTGTACTGAAGTTTGCATAGAGAACCCGGGACCGCCAGTTTCATAGATCCTAAACCACTAAACCATCGGTGATCTCTTGAACTTAACTAGCAAACGGAAAATAAATGACTGACAACCTAGATTTAAAATATTATCTTTTAGTTATTTTTTAGATTAAAACCCATCACAAACATTACTATGAGGTCTCACAGTGCGTGTGGACGCACAGGGTGACACACGAACCAATCACAGAGCTCTGTTCAACGCTGTGCGTTCGATTTGCTGCCTCACTTAAGCAAGCATCGTTTGTGAATACGGGCGTAAATCTCAGATACATAGAACAATAGTTTAAAATATACTTTTGAGCAGGAGTTGATGAAATGAAGAGGTGGAAATAAAATTTAATCTGAATAATTTATCTGAATTTGTAGCATTGATGAATAATCGTTAATATCAGTTTAAAATTGAATTTGCATGATACATAAAAACGTCCTTTAAATATTAATAATATCGTAAAATCATAATGCACCTTAGAGGTCAAATAACACATGCTGTAATAATAACATAACACTAATATTGTATTGTGTTCGAATAAAATTATAGAGGAGCTAAAAATAAGTGTTGTACCGATTCTAATATAGTTAAATTAATAATGGTCCATTTATTACGCTTTTTTAACTTGTTGACATATATTTAAGCCTAAAGGCATATTTTAGATCTTGTTTATATTCAATGGCATATTTTGATGATGTTTGAATATGCAAGTGCACACTTATTAATAATACGTGTAGACTGAACACGAATTATTAGATACCAAAAGATTAAAAGTTAATTAAAATTCATTTTCAGATTCTTTGAATTCTCATTCTCAGAATGACTTTTATAAAGCCTGTGATTAGTTTTAAGAAAAACTTTTATTTTGAGAATTCCGGTCTATTACAGGCTCTACAGGAGTGACTAGGATGAGTTGCACCACCAAACTTTAACCGTAACTATAACAATATCCGGGGTTTTTTGTATGGACTTTGACAGATTTTTCACGTTTGATAAAATTAAAGTAGGTAACTAAAATAATGCAACCCAGCCTACGTATCCTATGCTTTCATTGAACTTCCAACTAACTAACGCATTTAGTTACTCGACGTGACTTTTTTGTGTGATGTTGATATTCTTGAATGACTCTGAGCTGAGAGGCTAATATTTTAAAAATATAATAGCTACTATTATTTCTTAACGGGCTTATTAGCAAAATTTGCAAAAACATCCAAACATTGAATAAATGAATCTATGCCTACCTACGCATAACACTTGAACATTGGAACTGTAGAGCTTAGAACCGTGAATATTTTAAAGATTAACGTTTAGAAAAACCCTAAAAGATTCCGGTAAAGCACACAAATCGTGTGCGAACAAGGTTCAGTAGACATGACAAACTTAAAACATATTAATAGGTATGCAAAATGCCTACAACTACATACCAAAGTTATCTCATTTAAAAGGTGATTTGCATTCATAATGTGGCTACCAAACTCGTTTAATGTATATGATTTTGGTAGCGAAAGGACTAAATAAATAAATAATTTTATTTTTAAATTCAAAAACTTCGGGTTCATCGTTTGTTTTTTCATCTTAATAGTGATATAATTTTTTTATTACTTTAACTTATAAAAATATTAAATCATACTGCCTTAACTTCTATGGGGTCATCCCTTCTACTTAATTACAGTGCATTCCTACCAATTTTATATGATATGTGATTTTATTAGTATTTATTTATCCATCTTAAAATGTTTCGTTATGAGAATGAGGATATTGCTTTTTGATATCAATCCTTATGAAAAGGTGCTACTATAAAAGCCAATTTCTGTCCTTTTTTTGTGAATAATTTCAGAAAGTTGTTTTAAAAAGACTATTTTATACATCAAATATAGTCAACTATAATATCTTATTCTGTGATAATATAAAGAAAGAACAAAAGAATAATAGTTTAAATAGTGGCTTCACCCGCGTGAAATTTAGGCTGAGTTGCACCGCCTAACTTTATCCGTAACTATGACGATAACCGGTGATTTTTGTATGGAGTTTGACAGATTTTTGACGTTTGTCAAAGTTAAAGTAAGATGGTGCAACTTAGCTTTAGTGTGTCATCGTCATAAATTATAGCTTATGTTATTCTGGGTTTTAAACAATAATACTGTAAAAATTCATCAAAATCCTTTCAGTAGTTTTTGCGTGAAAAAGTAACAAAGTTGTTAACATCCAGACATCCATACAAACTGTCGCATTTATAATATTAGTAGGTTTACTTGGAAAAACAAACTAGTGAACCCTACAATGCCGCGTCAAGAGCAGGTGTCAAAGTTACATCATCGCCTCGGAGCGACCGCGGGCAACGGTCAGCATACTTTATACACAAAACTGTTGAACTTGACATTTAGTTTTAACTATTTGTATATAGATGCTAATTTCTATACTAACTCCACCTCTGGGTTATTCAAGGAATCCTCTAAGGCATTTTTGTTTGTTTGTCGTGTTAAAGGTCAGATTACCACATGTTGATCAAATTAATTGTAATGTTACTAATTAGAATTATGTACACATTTATTTAGACAGAAATTAATTATATGGCAAAAAAAATATTGCATAGAATAAGTTGCTCATGGTATTATAAAACAAAAGTACTTGCTACTTAGAAGTAATGACAAATACTTACTTTAAAAAATTTTATTTAGACCAGACATAGAACACTCCAAAGAAGCTACTGAAAATGGTAATGCATTTTTTACTTTCAGCAGCTCTAATCAATTCTTTAAGACATGATAATAATTTTATTTTATAGTCAGATCCATTCATGAAGTTATTTGAAGATTCTGCGAATACGAAGACCCTGTAGATGTCCTTTAGCTTACGACTTAAACCCATAATAAAACGTTTAGTTAAAATCAATGTGCTATCATAACCATACCCATCGTTACTATGGGTATAATAACGGTTTACGACTCTACATCTGTACTAATAATAAAATAAAATTCAAAGTCAGTCAGTAATAAGAAATAAAAATACTTTAGTGGCTAATTTTATACCAATTGGCTAGCTATAAACACCAAACTACAGCCTTAAGGGATTCACTTACGAGTATGTGTTAATTACATTAGTTTTTGTTGTTATATGTATGTTGTTAGGCATAGTTGTAACTTGTTGTTGTTGTAACTGGTTCATAGAATTTTTGGTGATTTGTAGCTGTATTTTTCCTAAATAAGTGGTAGTCTATGTACTGTAACTGTACCTATTAATAAATAAATAAGTTACTTAGGTAGTTACGCGTATTAACAACAGACCTTTAACTTACTCGAGCCTGCATGCCGTCTTGATAAGCGCGCTTGAAAGACATGATCTAACCCGAGGGCATTTGAATCATATTTGAACTGTCAAAATGTCTAACCATATCAAGTGCATCAGGTGTTGCATTGCTGGCGGAAGCAGACCAGTTCAAGTTCAATGCACTCGCTGGTTGACCCAAAGTTGAGCTTGCGCAAGCACAACGGCACTCATGAGATGCCATCCGTGGCCCGTGGGCGCTTCCAAGGCCTTGACAGTGCTTTCTATTATCTAAGCCATTCATAACACCCAGCTTTCAACTCCATTTTTGTTTTAAAGCTCAATAAATTTTTAAGTTGGCTTCCGTTCATAACATATTTTGAGATAACTTACGACTTCATTTCAAAGTTGATATGTGTCTTACTGGAAAGCGATACACGTTATGCTATGTAGGTATATCAAAGTTACAGCTTTGAATGTTATTCAATAAGACTGATGGCGCTCATAATGATTGCAGTCACTTTAATACATCACTGTGTGAAATGTAGCACATAACAAATCTCTGGGCAGTTTGAATGAGGTACCCAGTTTGTCAGAACCTATTCACATAGGTACTGATTAATGACCACCTGTGTGGGTTTCTGTTTAGATTGCCTTGGTCGTCTCTCATAATTGTGTAAAGAATTTGTTTATAAATGATTATTGTTAATTTATTTTTGTATTCATATACCAGCGATAATTTGAAAATCGAGTATCAAATCAAGACATTAGCACATTAATAATCTATGCACATTTACATTACGGCATTTATCTCACTACTACAAATAAAACAACTAAGTAGATCAATTTCAATGGAATGCGCTCACGCATTGCAACATTTCGTGGTACTGACGGTCAACGATCCGTCTGCGTGGACGTAGGGATTGGGATCTTGTACAGCTTTGCGATGTTCATTTTGTCGAATGATGAGTTATAAAGTACTCACCCCTAGACAAATTACTAAAATTATTTCCTTTTTTCTTTACAGGTGTGCATGGTAGCAATCGGTGTAGTGGCAGCTGACGTATCTCATCTTGGATATAACTACAAAGTACCCCAGACGTCTTATGGAGTACCTTCGTACCAATCTGCTGGTAGCAATTATAACACTGGGTACACACAAAGCTCTGGCTCCGCCGGCTCCTCGGCAGGCTACCAGGGCTTGAGTGCTGGTCAAACCGTGTACCAGGGGCACCAGGGACACCAGGGACACCAGGGGCATCAGGGCTCTCAAGGTTATACTGGATACCAGGTCCAAGGCTCAGCTGGCAACCAGGGTTACTCAGGCTACCAAGGCGTCAATGCCGCAAGCGGTGCCAGTGGAATCAGTCAGTACTATCCATCAGTATCATCAAATGGAGCAAGCTCAAGCTCTGGATCTTTTGTACAACCCACTTACCAAGTCAGCGGTGGCAGTCAGGGTCAATCCTATCAATACCAGAATCAATACCAAACATCGCAACAGCAGAAATATCAATATCAATTCCAAACACAGCCCGCTCAGATATTCAAACACTTCTACGTCCACGAAGCCCCTCAAGAGCCGGAAGAGGCTAAGCCCCGCCAACCCGTGTTGTTGCCTCCCCCACAAAAGCATTACAAAATAATTTTCATCAAGACACCCTCCCAAGCCGGAGGCGCCTCACAGGTTGTTCCGGTGCAACAACAGAATGAAGAAAAAACTATCGTCTACGTTCTGGTCAAGAAGCCCGAAGACTATCAAGACGTCGTTGTGCCTAAAATAGAACAGAAACCTCCATCCAAACCGGAAGTTTACTTCATTAAATACAAGAACAAGGAAGATTCGCAGGCCGTAATTAACAATATCGTCAAGGACTACGACAAAGGACAAAACCTAGTGAGCATCTCTGGCGCTGACGCTGGTCAGAGCGGCTCCTCCGCCGTGTACACGGGCCAAGTTAACGCTGGAGCTGGTGAATCTTTCGTCGGCCATACCGGTTTGACTTCAGGAAGCACAGGAAGCTCATCCACAGGCTCCTTCGTGAGTCAGGGAGATGCAAGCTCAAGCGGTGGCTCCGTCGAATACACAGGACAACAGTTGGTGGGTTCAGCTCAAGGGATAAGTGACGGTCAGCTAGCATCCGTCTTTACGTCTGTAGGTCAAAGTGAAAACATTGGCCAGCAAACTTCAGGACTGGTCTTCGGCAGCGAATCGTCGGGAGGCCTGAACCTCGCGACGGGCCACGCGACGGGCGCCGGCGTCGTGAGCTCCAGCTACGACTCGTCCGCGTCATCGACCGCTACTTACGACAACTTGAATGCGATTTCTACTAGTCAAGGCGTACCCCACGAAACCTACGGTGTTCCCAAATTCAAAGAACATTAGATAAATTATTTAGCTACTTAATCTTTAAATCAGCTGTTTGACCAAGGTTTTATACTTTTTTCCTAAATGGAAATAAACAATCCATAACAAAATAAAACCCTTTTATTTGCTACCTGTAAACAAGGCTGATTTTTGATGTACTCAATAAATATTTACCTGCAGGTAAGTACTTAGTCTTGGAAAACAAAAACATAGGAACACGCAATCATAAAAGTAATAGGTAAACCTGCTAAATATGCATGGGTAAGTAATTAATAGCTGGACAATAACAATTGGGTAACAGCTAGTTAAAGCACTAACATACCTACTAGCTAACAATAAACAGAAATAATACCTACCTAGGTACCTATCTATCTAGGAGTATATAACCTATCTACGAGTAGGTATAAAGTTTTCTACAGTTATACTACAGGCACAGATAATACTATACCTATGTACCTAAAGACCGGGTTACTTGTGTAAGTAAGTAATATTCTTTCTTTACAAATAAATCCTTCACAGAACAAGATTCACTAAAGGTGATCCGGTTCACCTTCCGCCCAAGCTGGTTTGTGAACTCATTTCACTCTCGAGAGAAATGCGCAGTTTGGAGCAGCCCGGTAAAATAATTGAAGATAGTTTATTTTGCTCTATGACGACAAAGAGATTCCATCTACGCACGAGGAGCCCAGCAGACCACTACGTCAGAGTCGGAACAACCCATCGCAATCAAAATTGGCATATTACAGGAATTTTAATGGCAAACCCATCCGCATAACTCCACGACGTTATCTTGATTTATCGTTACTTTACTGAGTGCGAGCCAGAATAACATTCTCTGGAGTGGTTCATTTGGTCGGTTATGCGGCGGAGCGATAGTATTTCATTCATATGAGATGTGGATTGTTTATGAATGGTGTGCCTCTATTTCGGGGTAGTAGCGCGTGTTGGCTTGATATCGAGCATTACGCGTTGATTGAGTGATATTCACAAATGCAGTCTGTCCGCGCGAGGAATGCCAGTCCAGCTCCGTGGCGCCACCGTAAGGGCATTGCTACACTGAGTTTTTGCTGAACAACTGACTCACAAAACAACATCAATTTCCTGTACCTACATTATACATAGTATTTATTTAAATATTACCTATTTTTACCTCTTGGGGTATTGAGTGGTTTACGTACTACCACAGGTACTAGGTACTTACTCATGATATAATCTAAAGTCTATAGAGTTTTGGAAAACTAGATGCGTGTCTTTAATCAGACAGCATCTCTCCATCTTAGAACATCTACTTATCATAGTAGCCGTTTGTAAGGGACAAATTGTTTTAGCGATAAGCCCGCCTGTGTAAGGCCCGTGACCGATTCGACATTAATTAGGTAGGCCTTTGTCCAGCAGTGGACGTCATTTGGCTGAAACGAACGGATGAATTAGGTAGGTAGGTGGTATCTATAGCGAACGAAGTGAAAATAACAATAAGTCACGAATCTTACTTTATCGAGAACATCAAGTAGGTAAGTACCTACCTACATTAAAAGTAGAAGAATCTTTAAAAAACTTAAAGCTTACAAAGTACCTGTACTTAATCAAAGTTACTGGATTTTTTTCCAAAGCAGGTACGCTACTTGAGTAATACTGGTAATACTTACTTATTTAAAGGTCTTTTGTATACGTCGACCACACACAGATAATATAATACTAGTCTTCGACTCAATGAGATGACCCAAAAAAACATTGTTACATAATGTTAATGAAATCATCCACGTTTATGAACAAATTAAAAATAAGTTAGCTTCAAGGCAATTCGAATAAATAAATTAAATATATTTAAATCATTCCGAACAAAAACTTTACGGATATTAGATAATTATGTATCGGGTACCACCAATTAAATATGATAACTAGCTATAATAAACAGTGAGCTAAGTTGATGCGCGATATTTTAAGCGAATATTGGTAGGATTATAGAATAAAATATGTAAGTTCCTAACTAATATATAACTACCATAAATCTCTCCATAGGTAGGTATCCCATTAAATCAGTAATAAATAGCTACCATTTTGCAGCTAGACAACTTACTGGAATTAGCTCACATCATAACAACCAGCAATAACACAGGCACACTCACAATAAAATAGTTTACAGCTCAACCGATTCGCTATCTTAAAACATAAAATGAGTATTACCATTTGGCTGTGCTACACAATTCTGATTGTTCGACGAATAATTCCAAGTGAAACTGTATCCATACATTCAATAGTTCGTTTGAAATGTAATTTCTGTCAGCCCGAGCCAGATAAATGCTGCGTAGGTACTGTCATACAACCATACTTTGTTTTAACCACTGTATATTGCGCCGAATGCACATCGTTTCGAAGAGGCAATCGAAATATAGACATTATCAAAAGATATACACATTCAAATTACAAAAATTATGTACAATCAAATTTTTTTATTAATAGATATGATATAGCTTTACTATATTTTGAAACAGGTGGTAGATATAATAACAAATACGTAAAACTAAGTGCTGTAGATATAACTGCAGCCACAGGAAGAAAAGCATTAATCCCAGTTTTAGAAGACAATAAACCTCGCCTACGTGTTACTATTATTCAGACATGTGAAATGCTGATTGGGTATTATGTATGTTCTGTCAATAATGCAAGACTCAACCAAAAGCCATGTCAGTACTACCAAGGACTGCCTCTTTTACTCGATGAACGAGTGATAGGCATCTCGGGCGTAATGCAGAAAAACGAGTGTTGGCTTCCTCAGAGGACTTTTGTGGCTTTAGGTCCTGCTCACGACTGGATAAGGTCTATAACATACAATATTACCTTCAATCATCACCGTGAATCACGTAGAGATAGTCTTAATGTGGCAATTACAAATTCATATGAAGTTAAAAGACAATTAGAAATGGTTGAACCAAATATGAGATCAAAATTGTCGGATATTAATGCAACACAACTCGTAGACTACAATGTTACAGAAAGTAAAGAAACCACAAACTCTGTGCACCGCGTAAACCTTACTCAAGCAAACAATACCATTATGGAAGCAACAAATATAACGAAGTCTTATCCTGTAACAACTTCCTCAAACAACATCGAATCTACTAATATAGAAAACACCACTGTATCTTTAGACCCAAAGATAGTCAGTGAAGAGATGAAATCCCAATATGTTTTACAAAATAATACTTCTAATAATATTGTGACTATTAACACCAAATCGGACCAGAACCTCGTGACATCAGTGAGAAAAATGATGACAACCAAGAAGCAAGACATTGTTTCTACAATCAAGAATAAAAAAATATTATTCAAGAAAATCACCGCGATTACAGCTAACTTAAAACTTCTGAACACGCCTACAACCACCACGACTGAACCCAGCACAATAAACATTAATATTAGAAGTCACAATAAATCATCAACTAGCGTAATGGACTGGTTCAATAAAAAATTCAGGGCTAAACTTCGGAAAAGTCCTGTGCCAATATTGGTGCTCAGCACCAAAATGACACCCGCTACTGATTTTATAGATCTTACATAAACTTTTTTAAACAATTGCCTGCCTCATTTTAGCTTGTTTTACTTGTGAAAGTTTAGATTTTCTTCTCATAAAATCCTTCTTCTTCATTATTATTATTTATTAGCCTTCGTGAATATGAGTTGGATTTTTTTCTTGGTCCATTTCATTCGTGATACAAATAGCACTTAGGATTAGCATTACATACAGGTTATCCCTGTAAGTGTGGATTAAGCAAAAATTATTGATTTAACGGCTCAAGTGCAAGAACTTTCCCCTAGAGAAGGAAATTCAAATCTTCCAAAAAAAAACTTTTCTTCCATACAAATTGTCTTCCGTGTGTAATCAGCTAATTAGAGGGCCCCTCTTTTTCAACCGACTTCAAAAAAGGAGGAGGTTCTCAATTCGACCCGTATGTTTTTTTTTCTATGTTTGTTACGCGATAACTCCGCCAATTATTAACCGATTTGAACAAAATTTTTTTTCGGCGTATAGGTAATACCTCAAGGGTGGTCCCATTTAAATTTAATAATAGAAAAAATAACCCCCAAAGGTGGAAAATTGGGGATGAACTTTTTTATACGCAATATCTCCGCCGATTAAATTATAAATCAATTTGAACGATTATTTTTTTGTTGAATAGGTATTATCAAAAGGGTGGTTTCATCCGAATTTGAAGAAAATATTTCACCCCCAAGGGTGGAAAATTGGGGATGAACTTTTTTATACGCGATATTTTTAATTTTTAGTTTTTTTTGTGTTCACGCATTTGAAGTCGGTTTTATTTTTAAAAAAAGTTAATTACTTATTAGAAAATTATAATTTTGTTCCTGTAGGAAAGTTTCATTAGTAGGTTTAATAATAGCATTTCAATAGTAGAATCAATCCTTCAACTGTATACGGCAACTTGAGATCTAATTAGGGCGTAATAGTGTATGGACCTATTTTGGGGGTTAGTACTGGTACTACTATTATTTATTCTGTGGTACTACGTGAGTGCGACAAACGTTACATCGAATTTTGTTTCTTCGAAAACCTTTCTGCGACGTTACTACCTAAGAGTAAGTATACTGCGACGCCTTGTTATATCGATACCTTGTTACTGCGATGTTACGTTACATCGAAAAACTTTACTGCGATCTTATAACTACGCGGCAACATAAACCAAACACATTTGCCTCCTACCCTCGTAATCAATGTCAATGGAGACTTATCTATGTAAGGTACCTGACGCTATGCGAAAGATTATACCAAATACCACGGCATATAATTCGTAATTTAGATAAAGTACTTTCAAAGTGATGTAAAAGATGATAGGTACTTACTGATAGTAAGTTCTCTCTGATTACTCAGTATTAAGTAATGTGTAGGTAACATGTCATTTGCTATTAAGGAGTTTTGACCGCCTTACCGGGTTCGATTCCCAATGGGGGCAGATCTTTCTGTTCGGTTTGGCTAGTGGTAGGTACTTGTTCCCCTGGCTAGCTACCACCATCTTACCCAAATGGGCATAAATGTAGGCAAATGAAACTAAAAACCCTGCAATAATTCGCATACAGCTGAAAATTGGTAAGAATGTTCGGAGCACCATTAAAAATGAAATGTGAAAAGTTCCCATCGATCCGACATGTGCTAAAAAATTGTCTTAACATATTTTTTGGTTGAAAATCGCTAAAACCATTTTTTAACTTTCGACTTAGAATTTTTTGTAGCACATGCCGGATCAATGGGGACTTTTCACATTTCATTCTTAGGCTGAGTTGCATCACCTAACTTTTACCGTAACTGTTACGATAACTGGTGTATTTTGTATGGAGTTTGACAGATTTTGGACATTTGTCAAAGTCAAAGTAATTTGGTGCAACCCAGCCTTAGTGGTGCATGGTGGTCCGAACATTCATACCAACTTTCAGCTGTATGCGAATTAATGGAGGGTTCATGTCTAATTTGACTGGACTTTAAATTCATTCATGTCGGCCGTTTGGTGTAGTGGTTCAGAACGGACTACTATGCCGATAGGTCCCGGGTTCGATTCCCGGCCGGGCAGAAATTGAAATGATGAATTTTTATTTCTGTGACGGGTCTGGGTGTAAATATGTATAATATGTATGTATTTAATAAAATAAAAAAAGTATATAAGTAGTATATCCGTTAAGCTAGCACCCATAACACAAGCATTGAGTTGCTTACTTTGGGGCTAGCTGGCGCTGTGTGAAATTGTCCAAAGATTTATTTATTTATTTATTTATTCATTACACATTACACCATTTATGTGCACTAAACCCATAGCTGGGCATTAACTCGTTAATCCGTTAATCGTTAATTAACGAAGTTAACATTTCTATTAACGGATTAACTTTTAAGTTAACTTTAAAAAATGTTAACGGACTCGTTAACTTCCGTTAAATTATCCTAAGTCCGTTAATCGTTAATCCAGTACTTACTATTTACCAAAAAGATACAGCAGGCACGCTGAAAAACGCTAGAAAAACGCGTTCTGACAAGTACGTTCGGGCTTCCAGAACTTCCGGAACCCAAAACAACAGTTTTTGTTACCAGATCACTAACGACACTTGTTAGTATGTGTGGGACAACTCTTGCAACTGAATTTAAGACCAGTTTTCCTCAACCGATTGAGCTGAAATTTGCTTATGTAAGTACGATGACAACGCAATGTTATGGTGAGTAAGCATAGCTGGGCATTAACTCGTTAATCCGTTAATCGTTAATTAACGAAGTTAACATTTCTATTAACGGATTAACTTTTAAGTTAACTTTAAAAAATGTTAACGGACTCGTTAACTTCCGTTAAATTATCCTAAGTCCGTTAATCGTTAATCCAGTACCTACTATTTACCAAAAAGATACAGCAGGCACGCTGAAAAACGTTAGAAAAACGCGTTCTGACAAGTACGTTCGGGCTCCCAGAACTTCCAGAACCCAAAACAACAGTTTTTGTAACCATCACTAACGAGACTTGTTAGTCTGTGTGGGACAACTCTTGCAACTGAATTTAAAAGACCAGTTTTCCTGAACCGATGGAGCTGAAATTTGGTATACTCATGTAAGTAGGGACGATGACAATGCAATGTTATGGTACCATTGAGCTGGTCTAATGATGGAGTCATGAGGTGGCCATAGGAACTCTTAAATGAAACGGCGGCATCGCATCGAATTTGGGTTCGTTGGATTTGTCTTTTTGAGCACTTTAGTACTAGATGATGTCCAGGGCCCTGATGATGGAGTCAGGAGGTGGCCATAGGAATTCCTAAACGAAACGGTGGAAACTTATAAGAGTTTGGGTTTGCTGGATTTGTCTTTTAAAGCACTTAGGTGCTAAATTGTATTGTAATTGAACCAAGGCTCTGAGATTGAGATACATTAAAAAGTGTTTTAAACTTTTTTAAAGCAAGCTTTTATTCTAAAATGCAATTGTACTAAAACGAAAAAAATAATTGTACTTACTTATGCAAGGTTCAAATAATTTCGAAAGCTTGTAGCGCAAACATAAAAGAGGAATAAATTCCATGCGCGATACAAGCTTTCGAAATTATATGAACCTTGCATATAATTATTTTTTCCCTTTACTATCATGTGTTAACGGATTAACGATTAACGTTAACTTGCGTTAAATCTTGCGAAATGTAACGTTTTAACTTTTAACGAAGTTAATTTTTTTATTAACGATTTAACGATTAACGAAGTTAACTATTTGATTAACGGTGCCCAGCTATGTGAGTAAGTACCATTGAGTTGGTCTGATGATGGAGTCATGAGGTGGCCATAGGAACTCCTAAATGAAACGGCGGCATCGCATCGAATTTGGGTTCGTTGAATTTGTCTTTTCGAGCACTTTAGTAGTTACTGGATGATGTCCAGGGTCCTGATGATGGAGTCACGAGGTGGCCATAGGAATTCCTAAACGAAACGGTGGAAACTTATCGAGTTTGGGTTTGCTGGATTTGTCTTTTCGAGCACTTTGGTGCTAAATTGTATTGTAATTGAACCAAGGCTCTGAGATTGAGATACTACATAAAAAACAAGCTTTTATTCTGAAATGCAGTTGTTTTTTTTTATTTTTATTTTATTGAGAAAACCAACAGCGTATTTATACAATTTTACCATACATAAATTTAACATACAATATGGCCAATAACAGGTTTCCCTTAAATTATTACCAATAGTACTAGTAAAGGTTGGAATGCTACCAATACCTATCCACACAAGTTCACACAACACTACCTAAACAATACACTACAAAACAAAGATCATCCCGATAGCCAACTCAATGTCAGTTGAGATACAGAAAAGATATTATGTAGTTTACATCCTACTATTATTATAAATACGAAAGTTTATTATGTTTACACAAACATCTATTTGAGTACATATTCATTCATGCAAAAACCACTGAACGGATTTTAGCGAAACTTAAAGCATCATTACTTATAATCTACGATCCAGAAGGATCCGTAACAGGCTAAACCACACGCGGGCGAAGCCGTAGGTAAATAATAGTTCCATGATTCCACACTCAGCCACAAGCCCCTGCACCTGAATTCAACAACGCACCTACATCTCTTTTAAACTTGCGCTTAGTGTTCGCAAAGATATCGACACCTTCAAAACGCGCATTATATTCACGAGCCAGCCGCAGCAAAACTGAATTTTGCTGGAATTCACGAGCCCGCCGCAGCAAAACTGAATTTTGCTGGAATTCACGAGCCAGCCGCAGCAAAACTGAATTTTGCTGGAAACTAAAACGAAAAAAATAATTGTACTTATGCAAGCCTAGGTTCAAATAATTTCGAAAGCTTGTAACGCAAACATAAAACAGGAATAAATTCCATGCGCTATACAAGCTTTCGAAATTATTAGAACCTTGCATACAAAATAAGTAATTTCTTTCGTTTTATTAACATGTGTTAACGGATTAACGATTAACGTTAACTTGCGTTAAATCTTGCGAAATGTAACGAAGTTAATTTTTTTATTAACGGTTTAACGATTAACGAAGTTAACTATTTGATTAACGGTGCCCAGCTATGACTAAACCTTTTTAACTAAGGGCCGATTTTTCAATCGTCGGATAACTTTTAATTGAAGAACAAGTTTGGCACATTGACAGTTTCAGTATGGGAAATATGTCAAAATGACAAGTTTATTCTTCAGTTAAAAGATATCTGACTATTGATAAATAAGCCCTAAGAATATTAATAACTGAAGACTAGGCTGTATTGCGTAATACCTGTGCCTTAACGGAAAACGGAAAGATTCGAACAAAATAAGCCGTCAAAGTCACTAACGTCATTGTCAACAAAGTTGTCAGTGTCAGCTGTCCTTTCTCGCTCAGTCCCTGTGTAATTTGTGATTCTGTAAACTGACGAGTTTGTGAATGTTCGAACGTGTTTTTTATTGCTGAAAAATTGAAAAATAGGAACTCGAGATTAACGTTCTTGTTCATTTGGTACGGCCGCGATCAATAAGTTTGTTGTGGGCGTGATGTAAAAACAGTCCGTCACCTGTTTTGAAACGTTTGTTCATACATATTTATTGCGTGTGTGCCGCTAATTTAATATTCGTAAATAGATAGTTAACGTGTAAAAACTAACACTATCGTGTTGTAATCATGAGTACTGCGGCTAACGGTTCATATAACTTCAAAGTAGTGCTATTGGGCGAAGGATGCGTTGGGAAGACTTCCATACTATTGCGCTACATTGAGGACAAGTTCAATGACAAACATCTCACGACGCTCCAGGTAGGTGGTCTAATTAATTTCGCATATTACGTACATATGCGACTGAGGTGAATGTCGTAACAACAACTATGGCGACGAAACACTAGTTTATGATCAACCTACAGTAGGACTATCACTTACCAGTACCTGCTATTGGAATACAATAACTATCCAGGAAATCTGGCTGGGGTTTTCAAATGAAGAAGTTTTGTCTTATTTCTGAACTTAAGGTCTTTGTCTGGTAATAGCCATTTTGGTGATGGCAGCTTTGTTAATAATAACTGATATAACTATTGGTATCTTTAATTTGCTGAAAAACATTTACTTAATATGGATAATGGATATATGCTTAATGGAATTGGACTTCATTTATTAGATAGTTAATACAAACCTATATTTTAAATCAATCTTATTTGATTTTGAATCTATGTCATATCACAGATACTAAGATGAACATATTATAGTAATTGAATACAACAGAGGAATGCAGTGAGTAACTGCAGTTTAAAATGTGTTCTTGCATAATAACAATTATGTTTAATATTAATTTGTGTTCTAGTTATCTCTGTCATTTGAAAATGCATAATAACAATTATGTTTAATATTAATTTGTGTTCTAGTTATCTCTGTCATTTGAAAAACTAAGTACATAGAATGCTTAACACTTCCATGAACAGTGAACTGTTAAACTTGTATTGTGTCTGGGTTACTGTCCGTGAAAGTGTTAAGAATAGTATTTTTGAATCATCAATCATGCAATAATCACAGGTAGATGACAGATAAAAATACTGACTATTCACAACAAAGACTATTGTAGGGGTCTGTATCTACGTCACTAGCTAGTCACTCAATTTACTCTCTATTCCAGGCAACATTTTTGAACAAAAAAATCAACATTAATGGCAAGCGCATAAACTTGTCAATCTGGGATACAGCTGGCCAAGAGAAATTCCATGCTTTGGGTCCGATTTACTATCGGAACTCAAATGGAGCTATACTAGTCTATGATATTACAGATGAAGACTCGTTTGGGAAGGTAAGATCTACTAATAACAGATCATTAATAAAGAAACAGAGCATTTTAGTTATCAACTTATTCATATTTTTTATTTTAGGTCAAAAATTGGGTGAAAGAACTGAAAAAAATGCTGGGATCTGACATAGTTCTTGTGATTGCTGGTAATAAAATTGACTTGGAACATGAAAGAACTGTACCACTTGAAGAAGCAGAAAGGTAAATAAACTAACCAACTCCTTCAACAAAACTGAATATCCCATAGAACTTTTTTGTCTGTTTGGACCTCTATTTATATAGGAATTAGCTACAAATAGGATAGCTATGGTATAATAAATCTGAAATATTCATGTTTTCTTTCAGTTATGCAACCATGGTAGGTGCGAAGCATTTCTACACATCTGCAAAATTAAATCAAGGTGTAGAAGATCTATTCCTTGAACTAACACGCGAGATGTCAGAAAGGCTTGAACGCAACTCCCAGGCTGATGTGTCCAGGACGTCCAGGGTTCTAGTGGTTGAAGATGAAGCTCCAGCTCAGACGTCGTGCTGTGGTGGTGCTAAACATAACTAATCTCAATTAATATTGATAAAAAGTTATAAAATGGGTATTGTGTTGTATAGAAATTTTAAGCAGGTATATTTTATTAAACTCTTAAATATTAATAATAATGAGATTGAGAAGAATCTTCCATTGTGAGCAAGTAAGAAGATCAGCTTCAATTAAGATCTAAAGATGAGCTGATTCATATTTATCTACACATAATTATGATTATGCTTCACTCTTAATGGAAATATTCTCTATTTTAATAGGTTTAATTTAAGTCATTTTTGCTTATATAAATTTATATTCATTTGTTATTATGAAGATTACTAAAATTATTTGATAGAATGAGAAATTCAGACATCTTTAGTCATTGCCAAAATATTGTTTTAGAGACTATAATAATCTTCGTTTTTCTTCTAAGATAAGATAAAACTACAATATTTTTTGTTATCTCAAATTACAATTTCATGTTAAGCTTCTGCATTATCTAGATTTCTTTGTCTTCTGTGTAGGTGTCGCTTTGTCAAATAGCTTACAGTTTATAAAATATCATATTTAATTAGTGAACCAAAGATAATTATGTTATAAATTTATTGATCCACTCATAAAATATATTATATCTAACAGCATTGATATCGCCATATTTATTGAATTTTAATTTTATCTTATGTTATTAAGAATAACTATAGTAGTTGAAACACTACATCATGTTTGACATAGAAAGAATGATAAAGTGCACTGTGTCTGCTGCGTTAGCTTTAATGGTTTATTACATCATATTTTGATTACTAAGTAGGCGCGCACACCGTTGATTTTTAGTTGGCCGATAGTTGTGCCCGATTTTAAATTGTATGAAGAATCGGCCAAATCGAATCGGCGTAGTGTGCGCATACATGCCCATACTGATCAACTGCCCGACTAAACTATCGGCCGACGAAAAATCAACGGTGTGCACCTACTCTAAATCGTGCCTGAAAATGGCGCCTATGCCTACCGCCACAGTTGCTGTATTGTACAGTAAAAGTCTGGCTGAAGACTACTTCCAAATTATTGAACAATGACAATAATATTGAATATTTGCGTACCTACCTACCCAATGCTTTGGTTTGTGATAATTGAGAATTATCTGATGTTTTTAGACTTAGTGGGTACTTCTTTGTACCTGACAGCATTTTTTTTACACAATAGAAGCTTTTCTTTAGCAATTGGTCAGTGTATAAAATACATTGTTTTCTTTATTCTTCTACATTTCACTTCTGTACTTTAGTTTTAAGTAGTATGTAAGTAATAGCTTCGAACATTCGTGTCTGAACAAATGAATAGATAGGTGTTATATTTTTTAGCTAGGTCTAATAAAGATTATTCTCATGGATTTAAAAAATGTAAAGTCCATTCCATGGTGTTACTTTTAGCAAATTTGTCTTTATCTGTTATTCATTTTATTGCCATTGTCTACCAATAACTTACATGCCAATATCAAAATTATTTTTTACTAAAATAACTGTAAATTACTATGCATCATTAATGTTTAATTAGATCGCCATTGTTTTTTATTTACCTGCCAAATGGTTATAAAAAAAAATTCTATTTCATTATTTAGTTATGTATAAAAATGTACCTTCATGAATGAAATTGCTGTGGCTTACCATATTTATATTTTAAAAGCATACTTAATAGAGATATAATAACTATTTATTTATATAGAATTGATGTATTTTAATAATAAGATGTATTTAAATATATTGTTGTCAAGGTGCATTTGCAAATAAAACAACGTGTACCATGACAGATGTATCTAATTTAACTACAAGTAAATAACAAATCCGTAACAATTAACATTATTTTTGATGATTAAAACTAACAGGAAAATACATATGCTAACTTAATGTCCTTTCATTACTTTCAATCAATAAGCATTCAAGACGATTTTGTAGGTCACTAACAAGAAATATATATTCCAATCGGAATAATTTATTTATTATTTTTCATGTTGGACCTACAAACTAATTTAGTTAAGTCGTTTGATGGTACCGTAGTCCTTGTCTTTTGATGTTAAATAAAGATTTTGACAACATTTACTTTTTTCTTTATCCAGACCACCGATCGCAATAAATATATTTAACTTTTCCCTAAAAGCAAATCCATAAACTAAGATGAAACCAATTCCTCCCAGTCCCAACATCTTTAGACTACACTATACACTGAAAATGCACATTTTTAGTTTCATTCTTAAATATATGATTATTTGTGCTCATAACTACATCTTAATGAACAAAAGAACTGTGAGCATGTTTGTTCTTGCTCATTAGTTTATAATTCAGAATGTTAAAATTAAGTTACTGTGGAGATTGTTACTATTAGAAATCCACCGAACACAATCTTTAGTTAAAGTTTGGAACTACATAATTTCTGAAATATGACTACCTAAATTGGTTAACATTACCCAGTTTTATCGAAAATAATTCACAACAACATCCATTTATATTACTTTAATATTCGATAAAATGTACCATATAGTGTAAGTATAAAGACTTTCTTTCTAGAAAGAAATTTGTATAAACTTTATGTAAAAACAGAAGTTAAAAGCTTTCAAAACGTCATTGTTTAAATGCTTTATTACAAGAGGAGTTTGTACCTAAGTTAGTTGAATGAGTAGGAATGCAGATAGCCTTTTGAGCTTTTGTGAAGCAGAAGCTCAAGTGATACCTAATTACTAATTCAGTATAACGAGTGCAGACCACGCTGTATAGACGGCGAGCAGTCTTTGTGCTTTTTATCGTTTCTGTCGATTATTCGTTTCAGAACGTGTTAATAATACGACAATACAAAAAGTCTTTTAGATAGATGATTCACCTAACCTTAATAAATGTATTATATTGACAGTCCGAGACTTTTTCTAATATTACACACTTTACAATAATATTAATTTTATTTGACTGCTTATCATTTTTACAAATTTAGCAAAAGGGAACGTAAGTTAACTCTTATTTCTTTTGTGATAAATATCGCAGTATTTCCATGTCACGATCAGTTAACGCAATAAACTTTGGTAGTTTTGTAATAGTGAAATCGTATATAATTTTGTTATTACTATCACAGTTCATATTATTGCCATTATCGTTTGAATATATCGTTTCTGCAAATGATGGTGCATTATTTGGGTGTAGATGTCACTTTTCCGTCTCCATTTCTTTCTGGGACGACTTCTTTTTGGATGCAGATTTTGATTTGACGGCAGCGTCTTCTTTTGAGGGCAGTTCTGTTATTGTCGCCTTCTGATGAACTTCGGGCTTGTCGTCTAACGGTGGCAAATCTAAAAGGTACGGCATCATACTGCGGGACTTTTCTTCAGCCGACAGCCACTCCATCTATAAAGGTTAAAATAACGATTGCAGTTGTAACAATTTAAGTTATTATCAACAACTTATGAGGTTTAACCCTTTGGAATAGATAATAAATTGTTTATTAGAGGGCAACAACAGTGACAGTTATTTTATACTGTAACATAGACATTGGTTGAATTGAACAACTGACCTTTTGACGATGATCCCTCACAGCGTCGTCGCAGATGTCAATGCACATCTGTTCGGTGAGGCGTCCATCGTCGGAGGCGTAGGCGGCCGCTTGCCACGCCACGCCCAGCTTGGACAGCGCTCGCCCAGACATGCCGGCGGTCCGCGCAGCCAGCACTGAACACAACGCGCCGTAATCGAACTGATCAACGCTCAGACGCCTGGAAAAACATACATAATGATGTATCATAACCATTATAAACATACAATATGCATAAGAGTGCTCTGTGACAAAATAATAATTCATTTATTTCTTGTTAGTAGACTTAGGCTGGGTTGCACTTGCACCATCTTCCTTTAACTAATATCAAAAATCTGTCATAAATACAAAAAACATCGGTTATCGTTATAGTTACGGTCAAAGTTCAAAATTAAAAATGTCGTTAAAGTTAACCTAAAAATGTCCCAACACTGCCATTGCTTCGGGACAATAATACAGGTCAATGCTCAGAAACAGCGCAAGAAACTCAGTCACTATTGTCAGTATACATAATTATTATTAACAATCACCTTTTTCCCTCGGATGCAGGCTGCAGAACAAACTTGTCGAAGTACAAACGGATGAGACGCTCTCGCTCCTCGAGGCCAGGCAAACCGAATTCAATCATCTTATCCAAACGATCGTTTATGGCGGAATCGAACTGTTGAGGCGTGTTGGAAGCCAGCACCAACATGATACGGTTGCTTTGATCCGAAGTGCGATACAAAAATGCGTTTAGAGCTGCTCTCAAGTCCTCACTGATTCTTTCCGAGGAACGCTTTCTCAAAAATGCATCAGCTTCATCAATGAACAGAAGTACTCCTACAAAAATATCAGATTATTACAGAAAAACTGCAAAGAAACTAGATCTCAGAACAAACATTATAAAATGTTTTATTCTTATAATAACAATTACCTTTCCGACTGGTGTTTGCCCAATCAAATACTTTGTGAATAGCAGCCACAGCATCTTTACCCATTGGAGCGACATCACCTCCAGTAAGAATAGCATAATCCATTCCAGAATGTTTGGCCAGTTTCTGCAATAAAAATTTCCATATTACAACTACTAATATTCATAATACCTAATAAAATATAAAATAATAATAATATGAATAAAAGGTGCATCATACCTTCGAGAATAAAGTTTTACCAGTTCCAGGAGGCCCATACATAAGCAAGTTTCTGTAAAATCCTTTGTTCAAACGAGTGTTCTTTGTTGCAATGGCTATGTCTCTCAGCTTGTTCTCCAGTGTTGGTGCAAGGACCACACCCGTCAGGGCATCTGATGGCTTTTTGAAACTTGCAATAGCTTTGGACACTGTTAGTATTGGGTGCTTGAGCGCCTCCAATATTGAGAATCTTGATGTTTCATTTACAAGGGTGGGTTTGCCTGCAAATAATGGTTAAATGGTTAAAAATGTCTTTATTTAAATTCAAGGATATTTCCATCACCAGGCTCGATCTCAGATGTAGTAGATGATTAATTTAAACGATAAAGTGTCTGGTAATTACCAATTCTAGCTTCAATAAATCTTGCAGTCACCGATGTGGCGCCCTTAGCGGTGTAAACTCCAAGAGCAAGAAGGGATAATCCTCCGGCAGCAGCTAATGTCTTATCCCAGTCAGTAACTAGTGCATTTAGACCAGTGCCAACCACACTGCCAGCAGTTCTAACAAATAATCATAAATTAAGTCTCTAATTTGCAGATTTTAAAGCTTATTCATGAAAACCAAAAAAAGTACACAATTTTTTAGATCTACATCAGTTCCGATTTGATGATACTGTAAAATAGTACTTACTTTATACTTTCCAGTATTGTAGTTCTGTTTTCAGCTGCTTTTAATCTTATTTGTTCTAGTGTGATGTCGCGGTTTTCTCTTTCAGCTTTGGCGCGAGCCTTTGCCTCAGCTTCAATGGTTTTCAATTTGTTCTTCTCACGCAGTTCCATTTCGTGTTCAATTGTGGCTCGCCGCAAAGCTTCTTGTTTAGCGACACTTTCTTCTTGCCTAAAAATATGGAAATATTAAAAACATTGACATAATCCTTGATGAAACTTTCATACAAATATTTATGATACTAAACAAAATATTAGAAAAAAGAATACTTGCTTTCTCAAAATTTCTTCCTGAGACTTTTGTTGTTGAACCAACTGTTCTTCGTATCTCTTCTTAGCTAGCTGATCTTGATATTGAGCTCTCATTTGATGTTGTTTTGTTTCTTCCTGGAATAAACATTTACTGATGAACTACTACTGAACAGACATTATACGTGAAAAATAATAATGAAAGATCAGCATGGACTGTACCTGCAAAGTTTTACGCCTCTCCTCATAATCAATCTTTTTCTGATCCATTTTAGCATGTTCAATGGCAGCTTCATATTCTTTAATTTTAGCCATTTGCTCTTGCTGTTTTGTTGCTTCTTGCAATTTGCTAAGTTCCAATGCATCTTTGGCATGTCCTACAAACAAGATGTAAATGATGTGTCATAAAATAAAATTATAGAAATTACCAGCTGAGATAAAGGTTCATCATCACATGTCTTTTTTTGCATAAATAAATAGAAAAGATTTTACATTATAAAGTATGGTCAAATCAAAATAGAGCACTTCTATAAAATAACATTCAATACAGTAAGTTGGTTAAAGGTTATTTGTGAACACATAATTAAGGCTGGGTTGCACCAACTTACTTTAACTGTAACTTTAAAAATAACCAGTGTTTTCTGTATGGAGTTTTGAGTATGTAAAATGTTAATCAGTAAAATCTATGTTGTATAAATTTAACAAGCTTTCTTTTGTGGCTAGCGTAATTAAATCTAATACTGGAAAAAATTATACAGACTTGTTGGGCAAAAAAATTATATGGAATCGCAAATTACGCAAACACTAACACCTGGTAGTAACTCGTAAGTGTTTGGGAATCAAGACAGTACAATCAAGCATTTATAGTTATTCGTAGACAATCAATGAAAATCAAATAAATGTACTTTGATCCCTAGATGTTTAGATGGATTTCATTCACAGGAATACAGTACAATAACTCTAAATACATTTCTATACTGCAAATTGAACAGCCTATTAACAGATTGGATGAAAATCTCACAGTAATACTGTAGCACATGCAGAGTTTATAAAATACAAAGAGTGCCGCTTAGCTTTGTAATGTACTTAAACACAGGAATTTTTAACAAACAGGGACATAAGTTTTAACTGTACTGATAAGCAGATATAATTCAGTGGCACAGCTATCGTAGTGTGTCAAATAGGCAAGGGCGTCTAAAATTATAAGGAGCATTCGTCAAAACGTGCAATAAGCATGCTGACAATTGAGTTATTCACAACGTTGAAGTCAATTTTATGTTTCCAAAACTGAAATATACAAGTAAAGTAAGTAAAATAATTCGAATTGCAATATGCACGATGTTTCTTAGAGGTTATGTGATCGCATTATGCAATACTAAAAAAGGTTACGATTTGAAGTTATTTCCATACTTACTTGATTTCTCCAGTTCTCTAGCAGCTTGAGCGGCTCTTTCTAGAGCACTTGAGTCAAACCGATAAGCCTCCATCGCTTTTTTCTCAGATTTAGTGAGTGTAACTGGAGGCGCGGCTGCGCCTCCGCTATCTCCTGGGGCATCATCAGCAGGAGGCTGAGGAGGTTTTGTACTGTACCCGAATAACCAAGACATAATTATAAGATAAAGTTTAATTCATGAAATAACTCTAAAATAATTTAAATCAGTTTTTCAAGATCTAGTTCCACAAACCGACTGAAACTGACGTTTACTTGTCTCATCCATAGAGAAAAGTAATACATGTCTCATCTGTGCCATAGACTAATCAGATATTGCATAGACAATAAATACATTCATCTATAGTCTTTGGTCAGCCATCTTTAATCGTGTTCTCGATTATGTTTGCACACAAATATTTTCGCCACAATACCGTCCCAGCTAAAAAAGTGTATGTCTCCAGCTCATCATGTCATGAGCCCTTGAGAAATTCTAAGCATGCCATATTTTTAAGCTTATTTTACAGAAATCGAACGTGCGTGAATCATTGCGATTCAAAATACAAATAAAATAATACGAAAGCGAAGCTGTATTCATTGGTCAACTGGTAGAGAATGCCATAAGTTTGCATTGGCATATTATGTTCATAGAATATGATCTGAGATGGAAACCCATTCAAGCGCACAATTTTATTTTATTTGGTGTACCAACAACATTACATACAAAGTATGTAATTACATAAAAAAATAATATTGGATCAGTAGATCAACTGCCTAAAAAGGGCTGCTAAAATAGATTTTCTAGAATTTTTTGAAGCTTTCAAGTGTTTCAATACTTCTTGCGAAGGTTTCTTCCAATGGTTTCTTCCACTTCTATTGATCGGCGTGTGATCAAATTACTTGCTTGCATTCTTCATTAACCCCTAATCGAACAACTATTTAATTTGATCTTATCCCACCAAGCAATAAATTACTTTAAAACTTGTGTTTTTCTTTATAAGGCAAAAAATAAAAATACCAAATAAGATTCGATTTATTTATTATTATCATTATTGTTAACAAATACTCTTGAAAAAATTTTAAAATCAGTATTAATTCCAATAAGATCTTAAAGTATGTATGTATTTCATAAAAAATAGATTACTGAATAAAAGCTTCCAATTTTTACCGAAAAAGGTGATACCGGAAGACTATAAAAATATAAATCTTATTTTTATGTAAAAGGCCAAATAAGTGTATGAGAATTCGTTGTGAAGCAAGTATTTTAAGATCCTAACAGAGATTCATAAATTAGTATGGCGTGTTACAAAGAATATTTCGAATAAATAATTTTATCAACAGTAAATTGTGGCAGTGATATTAAGTATGTATCTGTTACTGGTAAACATTCTTCACTCTAGAATTAAAGTAGGTATGAGAATACTTATAAAATGATTGAATAAATAATAAAATTGAATACTGTTATCTTAACTAATAATATGACACAACAAATGTATAAACTGTAATAGGTATAGTAAATCCAATCGGGAGGTTTATTCCACTTTGTTCACCTGGGTGAAAAAGTGGAATGTTTAGTATCCTCGCCCAGGTGAATTGATTCGACTAAAACGTTCGCATTTGTTTAGGAATAAATTCACCCAGGTCTTCGCATCTGTTCACCAGGGTGAATTAATTCCTAGGTGAAGAAATGCGACCGCTTTCGTAGACTCAATTTACATGGAAAATGAAGTTGGGTGAAATAGTTCCGAGGTGAAATGAGAACACTAAAAATTCCACTTTCTTCACCCAGGTGAACAAAGTGGAATATCCAATCGGGAGCGTGAAAGCTGTTTCACACTTTAAAATCACTACTCGGAGCAACCTAGCTATCATAATAAAACGCTCTGGGTTAAGGATGAACAAAATTCTCGACACGTAGTAGGGTCTCCGTCACATTCGGTACATACATTATACTTATTTCTTCAATGAGTGTCACCCACGTTAGGAACACGCTAGGGAGGCAATCCTTAGGTTAAACATGTAAAACTATTATAAATCTTAATGTAAACCGTCTGACATGTGGTGACGCAAAATATGGCTTATTTTTCTGGTCGCTTAACTTCGTAATTAAGTTTAAGCTTAGGAGGATTTAGAACGTTAAATCCCGTGACCGCTTCGCCGAGCTTAAAGTTCTTGTAGTAGTCAAGCCCTCTCATCTTGAAAAATGAGAAGCGTTATGTCAACCCCTGCAGACTCACGCCCGTATTCACAAACGATGCTTGCATAAGTGAAGCAGCAAATCGAACGCACAACGTTGGTGTGACCCTGTGCGTCCACGCGCACTGTGAGACCTCATAGTAATGTTTGTGAATACGGGCGTAACATAATTACCGTCGAGTTTACAATAAATGATTACTTATGAAAAATACAAGTCATTTTGCTAGATAAAAAACAAAAACAATAAATTAAACTCCATAAAAATATACTGGAAACACACATCAGTACAATAAATTACTATAGCTGCGTTAATGACGTATCTCGTAAATGCGGCTCGGAAATAAAGTCAATAAGTAGAGAATGCTACACTAAGGAGTGGAGGTGCGCTCTATAAAAGTATTTAAAGTTGGCACCACAGTTGCGGAGTAAGAAAGGGCTCAATTCATATCATAAGTCCAGTATTTTACAATTATTTCTACAAATCATCGTGCACAGTTACAGTTAAAAACTAATAAGTATGCAACAAAACAATAATTGTTTCGCATTATTAGCCTGTCAAATACTTACAGCCCTATCTGTAGAAAAATAATATTTCATAAACATAATTAGGTATTATGAAAAAGTTTCGGTCAGTATCACAGTTTAAAAAGCGAGTTTTCACTGCCAAAAAGTAGCTCGTAATTAAAATACACAATTAAATAAACATCACCTAAAACATGGTAACTTACATATCACTAGTAAATATATAAGCAGTATCTTACGATTAAACGGTTAGTAATGTTATTATTTAATGTTACTTCTATATACAGCAACTCAATACAAAAGCTATTATTATAATAATGATGTCACACTGCTTAGCTACCAGAACCATAACAACCACATTTTCTAAGAACATGTACTTTTAGGAGATTAACTAGTTCACACAAATAATGTTTCATACTCTTAAAAATAAACAATGAACTTATACTAGGTACGAATAGTTATAGCATTACGTAAAAATGTGACGAACAGAGAAACCAATACAAAGTTATTAAAGCATGTCAATATTGCCCATTTTTAAGAAAACAATAGTAATCGTATTTTCGTTCAATTAGAATCAGCTGACTCGATAATGTCGACCAAAACTACATCAAGCTTTATTGGTTGAAACTAGGTTATAAAATTTGCATTTCGCCCTTTTTAGTATATCGGCACCTCAGATCCCTTCTATGATCTGAGATCGGCACCCAAAACTGTCAGAGAATAATAATATATTTTAGATGTAGTAAAGAACAGATATGACCGACTGACTATATTTATTTAAGCAGTCAAGTTGTTAGTGGCAGATCTTGAACTCATATTACATTATTGTTTAACTATAACTTTTATTCCAATTACGGACCTTACATAAAGGTAAAATTAGCATATTAAATGTATAGTATTATTTAAAAAGACTGCAAGTTCTGTGTCATATAAAAATGTTTGATTAGGTAGGTACATTAGAAGCAGATTTCCTATGATTATTTATATTAAGTGCCCATGTAGTACTGTATGTAAGGTCCAAATTGTTTGATCTATAGACAGCACATCAAGTTAAAATACACTGTAAGCCAGGGATGGCGAACCTTTATGTATAAACGTGCCAACGTTGATGTACTCATACACGTGCCATTAAACATCATGCCATTAAAGAGGGATATTGTACAAGCTGCGCCGTGGCAATAACTGATGAGGTGAATACGATAGTCAAAACATCTTATTTACTATTTTATTGGTGACTTTTGTGATTGATGGCATGCCCTAAATATTGTGCCATCAATGGCACGCGTACCATTGGTTCGCCATTAATGTTGTAGGCGCTTATGCACTTGTAACAAGGTCGACTTTTCAACGTAAATGTGTCTGATGCGCTGTCGTCTGCAGGTGATTGCTTATCGCCTATAACGTCCGAGGTACGCGCCGCAGTGGGGGCACTTGTGATGCACGTCCATGCAGCTGTCGATGCAGCAGGGGATCAGGCAGCACCCGCAGAAACATCTGGAATAGACAATTCAAATATCGAACAAAAATCACCAATACAGCAACGCTAAGTCTTTTGTTTGGACAATAGCTTATTTTTATATAAATGGCAAACAAACCTCTCTGGGATGTTCTGCCAATGCTTCGTGAAAATTTCACTCAAACATGAAATAGCTTTTATACATACAGGGTGTAATAACAGATCGGCAAAAACGTCATAATCTTTAAAAGGCTAGTGAATTTTTTTCCATGTCCCTTCTTCTGTTCAGTACTTCAAACTTAATTTTTTTATTACGAATAAATCCAGTTTCACGTAAAGGGATAGGCCTGAATTCAATCGTATTATGAGATATATTTTTTTCTTAGTTTTCTGGCCTTCAATGATATACCGACCTACTAATAAAACTTGTGAGGAACTAATTACATAAATACCAACCCGCGCACGCAAAAAACATACGCACTGCAACCTCGTGAATTGTGTGATTCAACTTGACCGAATTGACTCATGGCCTTGTTACGCAAATATTTTTTAAAAACTTCATTCATTTAAAAAAAGGAAAGCTTATAAAACTCGTTCGTTTCAGCCAAATGACGTCCACTGCTGGACAAAGGTCCCAAGGATTTCCATAATCTGACCGGTAAGACCGGTCCTGCGCTGCCCGGATCCAGGCTCTTCCCGCGACAATCACTAGATCGTCGGCCCACCTAGTGGGAGGCCTGCCCACGCTACGTCTTCCGACCCGTGGTCGCCACTCGAGAACTTCGATATGCTTATAAACTCACCCCAAAATAAATATGATGGCTCCAGATATGTATGCGATCAGTCCAGGTTTCGTCTGTGTGGCAGTGTCGATTTCAGCATGGCAGCTAGGGCATATCATGTGTGTGGGATGAGGGCCGACGGGCACCACCGTCGTCACGATCTGAGGTCCTGAGCCTATAATAAAATATGAAATCAAGTTATATTCTGATCAGCTCTGAGCTCTAGCTACAGTTTGTTCAGGGGAATAGGGCTAACTCTTGTAAACTAAAAGAATCAGTAGTAAAACTGCGACGTCTTTAGCTCAACCGGAGTCCTAATTTTTTTTTAAATGCTTCAAGCAAATCTGTAAGCAGACTCATTCTCAGCAATAATAAGTAAGGTAAAATAAACATTAAAATAATTGCTACCTCATGAAAAAACAATACCAAAACATTCGTATCAATCGTATCACTGGTTCCTACAACGTAAAGTTCAAGGATATACTCATTTTATATTCTAATACATACAGTCAATGCATTAGAACAGAACCAGTTGTTTGGCTTTCTATGAAACAAGGTTATTTTCAAGGTCCACACTTTAAAACCACAAGTGTTTTTGCTACATGGTCATTTAGATTTAACTTTGGCAGAGTCACCATATCTGGCCTTGCGGTGTGGGTGCTAACTCATTTTGTATAATTTAATAAAATATTGAAATTAAATGTTCTTACTGGCACACAAATAAAAAAAACAAAATTATTATTTTGTAATAACTAGTATCCCTAAGAATCCCTAAGATTTAGAATAATTCTTGATGTGTGAATATAAAATTTTAGATTGAATAAACTTTGTGCCTAGTCATTTCTTAAATAAAATCGGGGTCAATGCTTTTGACCTCTGTGAAGAAAAATATTCGAGTTTTTTAAGATATAAAATATTACTATTGCAACTTCTTCGGCCATACAATGTTTTCATCGCTGTCTAGCTAGTCTAAAATTAGGTAGGTACCTATATCTGAACATAAAAGAAGTTTATTTATTTTTAGTTTATTCAATGCAAGATATTATAAACAATGACCCATTCTGTGGTCACAATAATGTTTAATAAATGACACATAATAACTAATTAACAAAACCATAGCACTTGAGGTCAGCATCAAAATTAAAAATGACTCAATTGCTGTCGTGACTTGTATCAGAATCACAAATAATTTGAAATTAAATTAATTCAATTTCTTCTTCTTTTCGTGTCGACAACAAACCTACACAGTGTCAGCCCAAAACTCCGCCACGAGGAATTTAATTTTATTCTGTTTTTATACAGTAATCCAATGGGAGTGCATTCATTGTACCTAGTTAGCTAGACCTAGACATACAATTCACATTGATAATTTAGTTATATAAATCATTCATTTTTCTGTTTTTTACATGGTTATTTAACTATGGCGAATTATTTGTAAAGAACGAATAAGTTGAAAAAGAATTTTCAATTTTTAAAAAAATTGAATGCTTTGATTCTTTGAAGTGGTGTTAGCAATACCCTAGAGTTCCAGGAAATTAAAAGGAACATGTTGTACAGTGTAAACAAACTTTCGCTTTGCAAATTTTGGTTTGTAAGCATTTATTGCGCAAGTATTTATTATGCAAGAGCATACATTTGTGAACCACAATAAGTGTTGGCTATATCTCTAAGAGTTGAGATTTAAAATGGTCATTGAGTACTAAGTATACAGGGTGTTCCAAAATTAGCACAGCACACTGACACCAGATGCATTTAACAAGCCTAATAATGTTTATAGAAAAGTTTCATGTGTTTTGAGTAGAGATGAAACGGATAGTTGTTTGGCCGGATACCGGATATGCGGCCAATTGTTTGGCCGGATACCGGATATGCGGCCAACTGTTAGGCCGGATATCCGGCGGCCGGATATCCGGCGGCCGGATAGTTGGCCCATTGTCTCGTTGCATGTCGTGACGAGTATAGCGCCGCACAGGTGCTTCGAACGCGATCAGTATGTCTCTAGACTAGTCACACTTTTCGAAAATCGAATCCGTCCGAATAGAATGTCAGATTTTGCCACTTGTCTAGGGTTCAATTCAATTTCGGTTGCAATCGTGAGTGTGTGATTGAATTGAATAGTGAAAATTTAATTAGTTACATCATGTCATCAGACCATCCAGTGAAAAAAGAAATCGCCTATTTTATGGGACAATATTATTTGATCCTCTAAAAACTAATTGATCTTTTTTGTGTGTGCACTTTTAAAAATAAATGATGTATTTTATTATATTTTATCTTTATATTAATTATTGGGTATATATTAGTTGATCTACGGTTAAATTATGACTGATCTTCATTTAAGGTAACATAATATTTATGTTTAACATACTCTTTTAATATTTGGTAAACAAAAATAATATTTGATCCTCTTTTTTAGTCATTGATCTTTAATTTTGTTAATTTGATGATTTTTATATCAAGTTTGCCTTTTAATATTGATCACCTAATAAATACATTTCGATCTATGTATAACTTAACTTTAAAATATATTTGATCTAACTAAAAATATTATTGGTTAATATTTTTAATTAAAAAATATCTTTTAATTTGCGCGGTACTTTGTGGTTGAGTGACAATCGTCCGTCATTGGTTACTGAGTTGGCCAAGGGCTTAGCGGCCAATAAGCAAGCAGAATGGTACATTGCCATNTGACTGAAATTTATACCATTCGGGCCGCGTCAGGCACGGGTGGCTGACAGTTTTTTTTATGGGTATAATATGTCAATATAAATAGTAAAAAAATATTTTTTAACAATAACTATTCATTTCAAGCCATTACACATCGATTAGCAAAAAATTCAATTTTGGCGAATTAGTAAATTTACTTTGGCAGTCAACGTGTTAAATTACAAGCTTTGTTTAGTTTGGGACTAGAGGCGCTATGTAAAATAATTTCTTACTTCTGTCATCCCTGAACTCGACATCATAATTTTTACCTCTTTATTTTTTTTCAAATCGCAAGGTTGATTTTCTCTTAGTATACCGATCTCGACCGTGATCAGTGACCATAAAGTCATCTGTCAACGGGTCGATTAGACACGATAAAAGCACTAAACGATATTTGTTTACTTTTAGTGCGACATCGGGTTGTAAGGACCTGATAAGTTTTTTTTTTTCAAATATTTACTGTGTTTGACGAAACAATTGCAAAACAATATGTATCTTTCGTACTACTGAGACCGAATATCCATCCCGCACCAACGCATCCAGCACCTAAGGTCAAATCGATTATTCGACCCGATAACGCAGTGTGAACGTGTTAAGTATGCTTTTTTAATAAAAAATAAATCTTTGAACATCAAATGCCTTTAAATAGTTTCCATCCTTTGACTACAACTTAATAAAAATAAGTACCATAACATCATTATTTTGAAGATTATTTGATATAGACAAAAAATGATTTATACAAATCGAATTATTTAAAAAAGTATCACAATATTGAACATTTGGCGCTCATTTCTTTTATTTTTGAGGACCAACAAGTAACGATCAGATATAATTTTTGCATCTCAATATTTTTTTGCGTAGTTCAAAAGAGATTAAAATATCGATCGATTTCATTTATTTTATGTCTCAAAGAAAGAGGATCAATCATTAAAATAGATGACCATTTAAATTTTTTTAATTGCCGTTTTTGCTAATTTAAAAAGATCATTTAAATACATGCCGTTTTTTAATATCCGGTATCCGGCCGGATAGTGAGTTACTATCCGGTATCCGGCCGGATAGTAAATTTAGGCCGGATATCCGGCCTACCGGATAGTTACCGGATATCCGTTTAATCTCTAGTTTTGAGATAGCAATGAAAAATTTTAATTTATTATTATAACAAAAAAAATGTTTGATGACTTCAGAAATAACATCAAGTGTTTTTTTGGATTTGACACTATTTTTTTTTTGTAAAATATACATTTATTTATTTATTTATTAGGTACACACGCCCACACTGTTAACTATCCATTTCCATTTTTTCTCTCTCTCTAATCAAATGGCGATTCTTTGCGATAGAACAAGATGACATGACTTTCAATGGGCAGTTAACACTGTTGGCAATAGTACACCAACGATAGGTACAACAATACACAATATGTTAAAAAATATGCAAAATATTAAGCTAATTTAATTGCACTATCACTTAAAGGTATACACAGCTTGCAAGAAATATAAGTTGCTGCTTAGTTAGCGTAAATGATGTAATAAGTTAAATTTTTATGATAAAGAGTCGGTTGCTGTAGCCTTGAATTTGGGTAGGGACATGAAATGCACGATCAGGGGACCACTACATTTATTGTAGACCTCACAGATCCGACATATAGGAGAGTTGGCTCCTAGAACAATTTTATTCGATGCATCTTTAAGTTTTGCTTCTCTGGTGTCAGTGTGACATGCTAATTTTGGGAACATCCTGTATAATGAGTAGGATAGGTAATATTGCAAGTGTCATCACAGCTAATTACTTATTACTGAACACTATTTTTAAAAAGAATGTAGTCTGCAAATGTGCTCCTAACTAAGACAGACTCAATTACAGTTGTTAAACCAGATAAATATTGGCATAAAATGGGCCTAATATCATATTCTACATCAAATGCTTACGCAGAAGGTTCAACACTGAGGACATGTTACAAGATGTATTTTATAAACAATGATACATAAACAAGTTGCTTACAAGATCGAGATATTGTTGCCAACTTACTTGGTGGGTACTGAGGTGTGTAGGGGCTGGATGGACCAACACCTCCGACTGCCTGGGAGTAACTGGGAGGCGCTGCCGGGGGAGGCTGTAGTGTGTGCCCATTGCCCCAGCCGTACGGAGGAGGATTTCCACTTTTCTCCATTTTTGAATCTATAACATAGAAAAAAAAGGTAAACAAACTCCTCCCAGAACGTACAATGTAGTCGTGCAAGTCGTATGTGATGCAATAGAATCTTGAATCTATTTTTAGACATGATTCCACCCACCTAAATAACGCAGATGGCCAAACTTTAGTCGAACGGGGTATAGGTAAATTAACACAAAATTAATTCGCTCTAAACTGTTCAATATGTTATGTTCGTATTATTCAACAATACAAAGTATTTGTAAATTATAGTTTGACTTCAAGCTCGATCAACAAGTGGAAAATTGAATGAAGAATCCAAATTCAATCAAAGAGAAAAATGTTTATCCTTCATGTCGTTTTTTTTAGGTCCATAGCCAACAGCCCAACACAGAACAGACTAAAAAAAGAAGAGAATGTCTCCAACTTCCTCATTGGCCCTAGAGCAATTCCAAGTATACCATCAATAAAAGCCTAATTAGAGTCATCAAACCTCTCAGTCATTCAATTAGAGCCATTAGAACTTCATAACTATGAGTTGTTTTCTATGTGTAAGCTGAGGACACGTGTCTCCAGCTGACACATCTGTATCTTCGTAAATATTTATGCTACGATAATGTATTATACCTCAAAAATTACAGTCGAATCCAAATAGTAGGCTTTCCACTTTTCAAGACTTTAGCTCAAATACTGTTAAAACCACGATCAAAAAACTATGTGCGAGCTGGAGTACCGTGTCTCCAGCTTACACATCTGTATCTTCGTAAATATTTAAGCTACATCAATGTTTTATATCTCATAAATTAAAGTCGAATAAAAAAACCCGACTTCAATTCTTTCAAAGCTTTATTTCGAACCGTTTTCGAACTACGAACCGATACGTATGTGTAAGCTGGTGACACGTAACACACGGTGGATTATTAAAACCGTATAAGTTAGAGTTGCGTTTTAGGTGGTCAATTCAGTGTGGTGTAAAATGATTTATGTCCCATTACATCACTTTACACGAATGTAAAGTTGCCGTGCATGGCGATATAATTAGGTTTTTATTTAATTACGAAAAAACTACATGCTATATTTCCCAAACTGGCACACTGCCTAATTATATCTAACATTACCTTTCACCTAAAAAATATTTCACCAAGTTATCTATAATAGCGACGAAGCAGGATTTTTTTTAACTTCAAATGCGATTTCCCAAAAATCACCATTTTCGACTTAACTCCGTTTTCACTGGGGGTACAGAGTTATGAAGTTCTAATGGCTCTAATTGAATGACTGAGAGGTTTGATGACTCTAATTAGGCTTTTATTGATGGTATACTTGGAATTGCTCTAGGGCCAATGAGGAAGTTGGAGACATTCTCTTAAAAAAAGCAGGTTTCTGTCAGTTTCTGTCATGACAGTCACACGTATATAGGTGGCGCTTCTATAGCTTATGCTTAACCTTATGTTCCGAAACTAGTTAAAAAAATTTAGGGTTCCGTAGCCAAGTGGCAAAAAACGGAACCTTTATAGATTCGTCATGTCTGTCTGTCTGTCCGTCCGTATGTTCCAGACACTTTTTTCCGAAGCTATACTATTGAAACTTGTAGATGTAATTTATGAACCGCTTTAAGATATTCACACATAAATAGAAAAAAAAAACAAATTTTGGGGGTCCCCATACTTAGAACTGAAACTCAAAATTTTTTTTCATCAAACTCGCTAGTTTTAACCCTCCCCCCCCCCCCTTCTATAAGAAAAAATAAGAATAGGATGATCCCCCCCCCCCTGTTTAATAGTTATTACGTAAGAATCTTAAGGAAAAGATTAATAAAATTAATAATCAGCTACACGTTTGACGACTAGTACACAAGCAGGGAATTTGTTACGTAAGAACTATCGAGACTTCCCTGCACCCACATTATTTGTAAGGAAAAATAAGATAATTATGGTCGACCACATTAAATCGTCTTATGGAATGAATGATGAATGGCTTCTTTTATTATCATTATGACTGTTATTTTATTGCAGTAGTATACCTACAGGGTGTTAGGTAAATGGATATTGTCTTTTTAATTATTTTAATTTTCATACAAATCTGATTTTATAAATTTTATTTAGTATGAAAATTAAAAAAAATTATGATAATATCAAATTTCTCACTTCACCATACCATTATTATTTATTTATTTATAGCTTATAACCCCATTTACCTAACACCCTGTATAGGTAGGATAGCATTAAAACAGCAAGTTATGAGTATAACATATCTTTATTAACTTATTGAGCGAAACGGTCTTTTAAAGAAGACAATAATCTAATCAATCACAACATTTTCCTTATTAAATGTAAGTACATTTAACAAATCAGCAACCACATTCCATCCAAGATTTTCGGAACCTTGCTTCGCTATTCTTCGCACTGTAGGTACTTTCAGACACACCTAGAACAACAAGAATAAAATTAAATAGAGTAAGTAAAAATCATCACCCACATTCGTGAATTCGTGACATTTGCTATTCTTCGCACTGTACTTTCAGACACACTTATAACAATAAAATAAAACTTTAAAACAACACTTTATTTTCTTCACTTCATTTCAATGAGAATGTCACAAATTCACAATAATGTATAACGATCATGATCTTAAATCGCACTACATCACCAGGTATACTTATGTAAGTACAATGACAATGCAATATTATGGTACCATTGAGCTGGTCTGATGATGGAGTCAGGAGGTGGCCATAGGAACTTCTAAACGAAACGGCGGAATCGCATCGAATTTGGGTTCGTTGGATTTGTCTTTTTGAGCATTTTAGTACTAGATAATTTCCATGGTCCTGATGATGGATTCGGGAGGTGGCCATAGGAACTGTACCTCTAGTAGGAAAAACTTTCGAGTTCGTTTCGTTGCGTATTCAAAGTGTCATCGAAAAATTTTGTATGAAAAATTAAACAGCGCCCCCTAGGGCGGCTATAATATAGGGGGCGCTGTTTAATTTTTCATACAAAATTTTTCGATGACACTTTGAATACGCAACGAAACCATGAAGCTAAAGATAAAAATGGAGGCCAGACTTAGAATACCTACTTGAAGCACAACCTATGTATCACTATCTCGCTCTCTGTGGGCAGGCTCTCTCTTTCTAAGTAGGGTAACCTTTTATTTATTTTTCTCAGGACGACAAAGACTGATTTACGTTTAAACAGTGTGTCTTGATAAAGTGCACTTAATATGATTATGAAAAAAGGTTTTCGATGTTTTTGTTTTAAGATGAATTACAACATTAAGAAAGTGTAAAGGCATCGAAAACTGTGGATATTTGATAGAAAACAGATTTTAATTTGGCAGTTGACAGACGGATTTGGATATGGATTGATTACAGTAAACGGCCGTAGAAAACATTATGCAAAATTAGATAAGTAAGGTCCCACAGAAAGTCCCAGATATAAGAAACAAAAATTTTAAATTTGCTCAAAGTCAATGAAACTCAATGTAAAATCTTCTTTTTCTTGACATATGTAACATTTAATAATAAGTTTAAATACTGGTAAAACGTTTTAGGAAGTAATTACTGTGAAAATACAAAGAAATATGTTAACAATGATCCACTGTCAGAAATCACGAAATAAACACTTACGCGTGGAATTTTATATCACTTCCAGGACAACACGAACTACCGCAACCACGCACTATACAATTTTGCACCATTTCTTCAGACAAAACAATGATAAGGTCCCTTGAAAAATCTCAAACGAAATCAACTGCATAGTAAACAACCGCCATGATGGGCCGGATTCGGCCGATGTTGCCACATTACCGATACCTCAGAAATTGGGATTGTAATTCCCTGATTCGCCAACACATTAAGCCTAAATGGCCGACAATTTTGTGATTTTTTATTTAACTAGGTAATCTAAGTTTCAAATATTAATTATTTATTTATTTAACTTCTTATTTGGTTAGTGAATTGGCTATTTCGAAGAATTTACAAGGAGATTTAAATAAGAAGATAGCAATACTACAGTTCACACTAAAAAGAGAGGTAGGGCCACAGAGAGCGAGATAGATATAAGTAGGTATTTGACTCAAGTTTTGTTCCCAACTTTGCCCTCCATTTTTATCTGTAGCTTCATGAACGAAACGAACTCGAAAGTTTTTCGTACTAGAGGTACTGATAAACGAAACGACGGAAACACATCGAGTTTGGGTTCGTTGGATTTGTCTTTTTAAGCATTTTGGTGCTAAATGATGACCAGGACCCTGAGATTGATAAACAACTAAAAAGTGTAAAATAAAATTATTATACAAAAAAAAATTGTTAAAAACAAGCTTTATTCTAAAATACAGTTGTACTAAAACGAAAAAAATAATTTTATGCAAGGTTCAAATAATTTCGAAAGCTTGTAGCGCAAACAGAAAAAAAAAGAGGAATAAATTCCATGCGCGATACAAGCTTTCGAAATTATAAAATTTGAACTTGTTTTCAAAAAAGTTTTTTTTATTATAATTTTTGTCATCTTTTCCTTTGATAAAAATAGGTCTAGTTTCATATGTGCACTTTATCAACAAGATTACGAGACACACACTGTATAAAATCCGAATAGTTTAATTCGAAACAGGCAGCTGTCATGTTACGACGCTAGAGCCCACTAGCGCCATTCAGACAGTTGCATTTTGGTTGCAATAATTTTCTTGAATTTTCTCCTGTGCATTGACAGTGACAGTTTGTGTGATTGTGATTTTGTTGTTGTGTGTGTGTGGTTGACGTGGTTGTATTTGTGGTTGTGTTGATTGATTTGTCAAACGAAACAAGTTCGCGAGTTTTGAACTAAAATTTTATTTACGTATTATGTGAAATTATAATACAATCGTTTAAAGTAACTCACGTAACGTACGTTAATCGAAGTATGCTATTCTCAGTTAGATCACACCTTCATTATTGAGTTTACTTGATGATTCATTCTTACCTTTTCCTCTTTTAGTCGAACTGAGCAAGATGTCTTCACCACGCCCGAAATCACCCAGAACTCCTGTTTTGCCCAAAAAGGAAGACAAGGAAGAGTCGATTTGGGATAAACTTGGAACTATTGGGCGTAAAAAGGGCATAAAAAAAGGTAACATGCAATATTTTACTGATTCAGAACATTTCGTCGCTATGGTTTTGTGTGGGATGAAACCAAGTTCGAATTACCTCATCATTGACCTAGAAACATGCAACATGCGTAAACTTGGTGCTGTAATCAAACTGATGATTATTTTTGTTGGTTTTTTATAGTACAAGAGGTGCAAGCAGAGGGTAAATATGCTATCGATTCTCCAGGAAGTCCCACAGCGCCCGAAATACCTCCCGAGGAATACAGCCTACGTAAGTGTTAGAGAAATGAGAATTTAGGGCATCAACTATAAACCTGCTGAGACTAAAAGCAAAGAAGTTTTTTTTAATGTTTGCATCATGTACTAGTCAGAACTTGTGTCAAGGCTATTGGCGAAGTATTATTTATTAATGTAATAACCTAAATACTGTGCAACACTATATTTTCCCGTTTATTTTCCTTCTGCTGAAGTAATTTTAGAGATATTAGTGTGTAAATTTGACATCCAAATATATTAATTACACTGCTAAGTGCTTCTATAATAAATATTGTATTTTAGTAGTAAAAGTATTTAAGTATGTTTATATATCCGTTGTCTAGTACCCATAGTACAAGCTTTGCTTAGTTTGGGACTAGAAGCGCAGTGTAAAATGTCTAAGGATATTTATTTATTTTATTTCATAAAAGTGAGGATTAATTGGTTATATTATTGTAGATGACAATGAAGAACGGGCCATAATTGAACCCAGGTCACTAGAAGACCCCAGGGTAAAAGAACTCATACAGGTCCTCATTGACTGGATCAATGATGAGCTGGCAATGCAGAGGATCATTGTGAAGGATATCAGTGAAGATCTGTATGATGGTCAAGTACTGCAGAAGCTTCTGGAAAAACTCACAGAGACCAAGCTGGATGTGCCAGAGGTGACTCAGTCAGAAGAAGGACAAAGACAGAAGCTTGCCGTTGTACTTAGAGCAACAAACAGAGTAAGTTCGACACAGACAACCATAATTTCCTGGTTCTTAAATATGCCTTTATTGTGATATTAAATAGAAATTATTCTAAAATTTCTGTTCATAGGTACTTTATGGCAGTTCAAAACCAGTACAAAAATGGAGTGTGGATTCCGTCCACTCCAAGAATGTTGTCTCAATATTACATCTACTGGTGGCATTGGCGCGTCACTTCCGAGCACCGATCCGTCTCCCTGAGAATGTCAGTGTCAATGTCGTGGTGGTGAAAAAAGATGCGTCTAACCAGCTCTCTCACAGGTATAATATTAATAAACAATCCAATAGTGATCAAGATTATGTATTGTTCTTTACTCAAATTCCCATCTGTTTCAGGACATTCATCGAAGACATCACAACCACTTATGATGATCTAGGAATGAAATGCGAAAGAGATGCATTTGATGCATTATTTGATCATGCCCCTGACAAACTGCAAGTTGTTAAGAAAGTAATCACATGCAACTAAGTACTTGTACTCTTATTAGTCCTAGTCTTGTGAGGAATTATGCTTAAAATTTATTTTCTGTTTCAGTCTCTCATCACTTTCGTCAATAAGCACTTGAGTAAAGTTAACCTTGAAGTCATGGATTTGGATACCCAATTCCATGATGGTGTGTACTTGTGCCTACTCATGGGATTGTTGGACGGATTCTTTGTGCCATTGTACGATTTCCACTTGACACCCCAAGACTTTGACCAAAAAGTTCACAATGTTTCATTTGCTTTTGAGTTGATGCAAGATGTGGGGCTTGCCAAACCAAAAGCCAGACCTGAAGGTACATTACCTTTTATTTTTCAACAATATGAAGATGTGTAAAATCAATCATTTTTGCTCAAAATAGGCCGATTGTTTCAGATATCGTAAACCTGGATTTGAAATCTACTCTTCGGGTCCTGTATAATTTATTCACTAAATATAAGGACATGGCTTAAATTCTTAAAAAAAAAATATGTTACTAATTTATATTGTGTTCATTTATTAATATTCTAACATGTTGTGTAAGCGAAATATATGATTTTGCCTTAACTTAGTAGTAAATAAATAATTTAACTAACTGTTATGTGTTTCATTGACTTGTTTTTCTTAATTACTCAGTAATTAATATTGAATATTTATGAAGATAATTTGATGCTTATTTTTATTGGAAGTCGGCAGCACACGAGCCTTTCACTACGGCTTCTTAGCTTGCACGTGTTGGAAACATCCTTCGGATAGGCTTAGCGCTCCGTTAGCTGCTGTCAGCGAAAATTATGTGCAAGGCGACAGGATCAATAAAAATGACTTACGTTTGCATCACCAAGCTCATTTCACGAATAGGCTATAGCGCATCTCTCTCATTTGAACCATAGAGAAAAAGTAATACTTATCCATGTTCGTTTTAAGTTTGCCGCTGGCGATATGACGTCACTCGAAGAGAAGCGTCTATAACTTTATCAAAATACAGTGTGTCCGGTCACCAGTGTCCGATCCGTTAGGGCGCAGTAATATGATAAAATTTATCGACAAAACCACTGGAATAAAACATTTTAACCCTACTATTAAAAAATTAGTTAGCAAAATCTACCGATGTACAGGACCTATAATTAGTATAAAATCATAACCCTCCTTTTGCTTTGCCGTAGTCGGGTAAAAAGTGAGTTGGTTTGACAGCTAAGAGTAGGCGCACACCGCGGCACCGTTGATTTTTCGTCGGCCGATAGTTTAGTCGGGCAGTTGATCAGTATGGGCATGTATGGGAGTGCGCCTACTCTAAAAAAGTAAGCAATAAGTTGACATCAAAACGTTTACCAAAAGCTCCCATTTATATGTAGAAACACTTGAAATTTTTAAACTATCTTAAGAAGTCAATATTACAAAATTACAGAATAAAACATCGTGTAATTAATTAAAATTTAATAATTCAAGGAAAATACAATTCATACTAATTAAAAACATTCAGGTATACATAATACAATATAATATTTAATCTATTTAGTCAGAATTCAAATTGAATGTAGCTAATAAACACTTTTTTGGTTCTTAGCACCTAGACTTAAATAATTGATAACATTAATTAAGGCACGCAAATTGCGATTGCGATTTATTGCAATTTTAAAGCATAAGTTAAGTATGACACCTACAAATAACGTAAAAAAATACAAAAAATAATACAAGCCGAAGCTAGCACAAGTAGTAACAGTAAAATCAAACATAATATTTAAAAATCTAACTAACATAGATTCATTTTGATGATTTAATTAGACACATCAAAAACACATACGAGTTCATACTTATCATGTTCTTAAAATGCATTTTCTCACTTTATTTATATTTAATTAATAACGATATATTAGGCGTTAAGTATGAAATTGCCGTTTTTTTCATACAAACATAATATTTGCGATTTTTTAGAAGACTACTTAAGTTTATGGAATTTTGTGGGTAGACTGAGACAACATTAAGCTATAAGATCCATAAAGAAAAAAAGGGAAAATTGATAGTTGTAAAAAGATATTCAAGGAATTACTAATGGATATTTAACAAAAAATCGGCAAATTGATACTTTACTCCCCCCTATTAAATTGTAATAAAAGTTATTTATCTAATATTTAAATTTAAAAAATATACAATAATAAAATTTAACTATATATTTTTTATATTTAGATTTATCTACTATGTATAGATGGGAAAAATGTATGTTTAGCTAATTGGCCACGTCACATTACAACAACATCAAAAAGCATTTGAAAAATAGCATTACTAAATCAATCAACATGTCTCAAATGTTTCGTTAGGTAATATTTATTTAGCCATATAATTTTACTTCAGTTTCAACACAGTCTTTCATCAGATCATTTAGCTCATCTAAAGAACCTTGACCGCTTTCATAATTTTGTATAAACTCTTCTAATTCAATAAGGCAGCCATTTTCTATTTCATGTAAAAGTGTAGATATCTTTTCATTACTGCTCTTCAAAACATGTTCAGCATGCAGTTTATATAAATGATGCTCTCTCTTTGCCTGAAAAAGGAAAACATAAATTAAATACACCTTAAATTATTTTGACTGTACTAGCTGATTTTCTAAATCATTTACTATACTACTACTATACTTACCTCATTAGAACTTTCAGTGTACGAAGATATCTGAGGTTTTGGAGTGAACACAAATGGCTTGAAATATGAGACGCTTGGGTCTGGAGTTGCAGTGAACCAATGGACATTCAATCCTTGAGAAGTCAAGCTTGATACCTGCAAATGCATTACAAATATAGAATTACAAAGAAATAGAAATAATATCTGTATTATTATAGTTCTTAGATTATTTGCATAATGTTTTTCATTTAAAGGTCTTCATGGGTTGGTGCCACCTGATGCAGTGACAAGATAATAATTTACTGTTTTGATGTTCTAAACAAATATTTATTACTAAGAAAGAATATACCTACAAGTGGTGTGAATATTGATTTTATTGCTGAACAACCTCACATACCTTAAGATATAGCTTAATAGTAGACAACACAGGAGCAATAAAAACTTAAAACCTACACTCATTCTTGTGACAGGAGGGTAGTACTAACATATAATTTTGTCAACAAAATTATTTGTATGTCATCATCAACTCACCTGACTCCCTTGTGTAGGAAAGGTATCGTCGCATCCACGACAAATGCGGCTTTCTTTGTGACGTAATACTTTGAACATGTTTTTGACATCAAAACATGCACCTGCACTTTCTTCCTTTAGCAACCGTTCACCTTCACGCTGGCGCACCTCATCTCCACCAGAGGAGAAACACTTGGTGAAATTAAACTCACTCTGCAAATGTAGTAAGTATTTAAGGCACATTTATAAACTTTGATGAAAGAGGGCTGTATATACAGAGTTTTCTATAAACAAAAACAATGTGTGCAACGTTAAAACAGTTTAGTTTGCATTCATAAAATAGCTGACAGTGGTTTGGTTTTTAATTTCATGAGAGTGTGCACTATGGTGTGGTGATGGTACAACAATATTGACAATTACCTGTCCATCCCATAGCCCCATTCCCTTGGCTTTTGCCTGCAAATTCTCAGAATGTTTGTCAATTTTTGTAGTTATTGTTAAACCATTTGAAATATTTCTGTATCCAGCAGTCAGTTTTTCAGCTGCCCACAATTTGCCACTAGTTTCTAGCACCCAAGCTTCTTTTGGGTCAGCTATCAGAAATGAGTTGTGGTAGAAGTGGCTATCATCAAGTTCTGAGCAAGGGCCCCCTTGTCCGTATTTTTCTAGTAGCATAGTTATAACATTTAGAGCATGTTCAGCGGTGTGGCCCCTTTCGAGACCTAGCCTGGAATAAGATTTAGGGTATTATTATAATATGTCCTTATAAAGGAAATGGTAGAATAAAATTAAGTTCATGAGGATTTGTCAAGCTAGAACATGGTGGTAGGCAATATGTTATGGAATGCAGTATCTTACCAATTTCAAGTCAGATTTTTATTAAATAGACACTATGCCTTATTGGTCAGAGGGTAGGATTTTAAGCACAGGTCCAGATAGTAGCAACAAAGTTGTAGTAGGTAGGTACCTGACTAAGTCCATGCCCAAAAGGCGCCTCTGCCTAGCATCTCCATCACCCTCGTTGTTGTTTGTCCACACGGCTTCATTTCCAATGACTACATTTTTATCATTGGCTCCCATCTCTGCTCCCCACATCCAAGCTGGTTTACTCAGAATAACAGTGTTTACGGGGTCTGGACTTTCTTCAATAGTGATATACGTGCACTGAACACAAAATAATAATATAAATTATGGCAAAATCGGCAAATTGAAATGAAATGTAATACCAGAAGTTTTCAATGCATCTTACCTTCAGTTTTGGATTTCTTACTTCACCCTTAACAAGTATCACTTCTTGCACCTCATTTTGAGGCCGATCTGAATTTTTGCCGAATATTACTCGGCCGTTTTTAGTGACCGGGGGAAGCACGACAAAAGTGTCGCAAGATTTTGGAAACCTCATAATGAAATTTAATTAATTGGGTTTTACCTGTAAAACTAGTATTGATATAATTATTTTGCTACACTTGGACAAAGATTAGCTCCCGAAACTTAATGTTAATGGTATATTCAAGGTGAAAACGGTCAAAAAAGCTGACAAAATAAAAATATTCCGACCGACCTGAACGACAGGAAAGTCGAAAGAATGACAAATGACAGCAAACTGGCTTTTTTTTTTTTTTTTACCTGTCGTCAGCTGATTGCCTATATTGCGGCCATGTTGTTTTCTTAAATCGTGTGTGTGCGTAATGTATGTACTGAGCACGTTTATTTTAAAGTTACGCCAAGTCCATGAGATGAGATACCTATCCTATTAACATTATAAATGCGAAAGTGTGTAATGTGTATGGATGTTAACATGTTTGTTACTCTTTCACCCAAAAAGTACTGAAAGGATTTTGATGAAACTTTACAGTATCATTTTTTATAACCCAGAATAAAATAATAGGCTTAATTTATGACGATCAACTAAACGACGACAAACTAAATTTCACGCGGGTGAAGCTGCGGGCAAAAGCTAGTATCTTATATCTATACTTTTAAGCAAAAGCTTCTATCTCACTCTTACAAAGAGTGACCGAATAGAAAGAACGGTGGATGTCTCAGATTAAGTGTTAGGTGGATGTGCTGGATGTGCATATAATATTACGTTTCGTTACTTTTGTTACATGAAAAATTTCTTTTTCCAAGGTAATCCAGAAGTAGCCTAAATAGCCCGATCTTTTTTTCTAGGTAGCCTAAATGGCTACCGGTAGCCGTTTGCATTTTTTGGTCGCCATTTGACCCCCGAAGGTAGCCTAAATGGCGATAATTCGCCTAATCTGGCACCACTGTGAGTGACAGCCAAAAATGCATCAGACAAAAATGACAGTTTGCTGACAGAGTTACCCTATAATGAAATATGTTTACCCTAAAAGTATCATTCTATGGCTTTATTGTCACCTGTCAAAGAAAATTATGTTAAAAGTACACACACCGGCAGATTTAGCGGAACTAAAAAAAAAGTATAAAAATAAGTAAAATTACTACTGATCTATGAAACTTATTATACAAAATAAGGAGATAATTAAAATAAAATAAAATAAAATGACAGCATAAATGAAATAAATCCAAATTAGCAACAGCTTCATTCAATTCAAAACACTCAACGAAACTATTGGTGGGGTAATTTAAACTAAATAATAAAAAAAATATACTGTTGGCAATATATTTTTTTCATATTTAGAATTAAATAAAAAAAGGTCATTAATTAGGCATCTTTTACCTAAAAAACTTATGATATTGATGTTTTTTTTCCGTTCCGCTAAATCGGCCGGTGTGAGTATGATACATAATAAAATTAATTACATAATGTAATATACGGTTTACTTATTTTTCAAGACATTTTCTTAAGTTAAAAACCCGATATATTTAAAACAACATTCTTCATACACATACCTAAAATGTATAATATTCGTATTCAGTAATATTAAAGTCATAACTAAGAAAGTAAACAGTATCAAGATCGTTTTTCCCCAGTATTGCACTCAACAAAGTTTATTTTCCCCATTTGCCGTGAGATTCTAGTACACCTATAATAATACTATTAATTATGGCGATTGTGTCTGATGCGATGTATAATAAGACACTATTTACGCTTCAATCTAACAAGATTTCTGAAAAAAATATTTCAGAAGGTTAAAAAGCTAAGATATAAACCTAACTAACTGTGACATTAAATTTGCTAAAAAAAACCTCCCATAGTGTTTAATTTTCACCTCTATTATAGGAGTAAATCTTACACTGGCCACCCAAGATGCCGCCTGTTGATTTTTATCGGGTCCTTGCTTAGATTAATAAAATCTAAGGGTCCTTGAATTTCCAAGACCTTGCCTTTTTCTTTCATCAGGGCAGGAAGTCCTTGGAAAGAAAGCTGAATAACTTTAAAAACACTAATATTCTGTAATACTTATACAGGAAATTTCAAAAACGTGAATGTAGGTAGGAAATACTCTTGCAAAAGAATGCTCTGGCAAATCTCCATGGAAAATATAGATGGCGTTAGTTGTCCCGTTATTGGTGTTACAGCGGAGCTTATCCCAACTTCCCAACTAATATTATAAATGCGAAAGTAACTCTGTCTGTCTGTCTGTCTGTCTATCTGTCTGTCTGTCTGTCTGTTACGCTTTCCCGCTTAAACCTCGCAACCGATTTTGATGAAATTTGGCATAGAGATAGTTTGAGTCCCGGGAAAGAACATAGGATAGTTTTTATCCCGGTTTTTGAAACAGGGACGCGCGCGATAAAGTTTTTCTGTGACAGACAAAATTCCACGCGGGCGAAGCCGCGGGCGGAAAGCTAGTTATAATATAAAAGCTTAAATAATTAAACTAAATAATGTTACTTGTAATAAATTAGTTATTATTTTCTTATAATTATCAAAGTAATTACAAATATCTCTTAACTTATTGTAGAACAGTTAGTTTAGTTAACCAACTTACCAATCAACTATTAACGAACAATTTTTTCTTTTTTTAAGTCACCACCAAACCAACCAAAGAATGCATATTGTACCTAGGTTGGTGGATGTTCAGTAGAGCTTTTGGGCCCTAAAGTTTAACCACGATTCTAAAAAGCTGCGTTGGAGTTACCAGATTTGACATTTTGTCACACTTGTGTTCCATACCAACCATAGCCTGCACTGGTAGGTATTTACCATGTTTGGCACGACGTTGACACTGGTAAGTCACCATTGCAGAACCAACGCAAGTGCGGCCTTGGTCGTGGCCACCTACCTCGTTAAAAGGCGCTTCCCTCATCTGACAGTAACGATGATCGATGGCTTCGGGACTTCCCCAGTAATATCCGTCCCCTGCCTCTCGCAACCCTCACCTACTAAACAACCTCCCTCGAACTGCCACTGATTCCAGCGATATCCTAAAATTGGGTTAAAAATTCGATCAAATGAACCACTGATGTGATATCTGTTGATTAAGGTGGTCTTTCACTAGGATAATTTAGTTTTTTCCGGACTATTAGGTAAGTAACTGATCGTACGACACGGAACCAAGACTATAGATACTGAATTTAGTTTAGAAAGCTAAACGTTTTATGCAATTTTGTTTTATAACAATTATAACGTAGGTAAACATGCACTAGGCAAAAATACTATTATTATTTTTTACTTTTAAACTAAATTACCAATACTTACTAACTAGTATATCACATTTTAAAAGTACCTACAAAGAGTTAGCGTTGATGCGTGTTTTAGACTAGGGGGTCAATTCCTGTAACTAAAAAAGCTTTTTAAACGAATCTGTTCTTAAGTAGACTTATTTACCCATACTCAATTACCCAGTATTACATTAACGCATAAGAAGGCTCAAGGTCACCCAAAGAGCGATGGAGCGTGCTATGCTCGGAGTTTGAGGAGATCCCTAGGAGAACCAGAGTGACTGACATAGCCCGCAGAATCGCTAAAATCAAGTGGCAGTGGGCGGGACACATAGCTCGAAGAGCTGATGGCCGCTGGGGCAGGAAAGTTCTTGAGTGGCGACCACGAGCCGGAAGACGTAGCGTGGGCAGGCCTCCCACTAGGTGGACCAACGATCTGGTGAAGGTCGCGGGAGGTGCCTGGGTGCGAGCGGCGCAGGACCGGTCTTTGTGGAAAACCTTGGGGGAGGCCTTTGTCCAGCAGTGGACGTCTTTCAGCTGAAACGAACGAACATTTACCTACACAGTTGTGTCGCTCATATCTGCCAAATTCCATTCTATGATCTGAAGTTCCATCCATCTCAATCAGTTCACCATCAACATACCTACGAGTGAGTAAAGTAGTGGACAGGATACGACAAATTATTTAACGGATGGTGTGAAGTGACGTCACTGAAGTCACCCATACATCTTCTAACCTAAGCTATGTCGCGGTTTACATGACGTGTAATGTGGTCTAAGCTAGACAATCCTAAAGCACCATGACCAGGTTGCTGAAAAACATCTCAAATAAGTAACAAACTACACAAAAATTTTAAAACGTTTAAAATGGGACAGGCAGGCCTTTTTTAAATACTGAAAAAATATCGTAGCTATTGTATTGGTATTTATTAGTTAGTAAGCACTTAATAAGTATTATTATTATTCTGTTTAATGGCTTCAATGGTGCCACTTAATAAGTAAGCAGGTAGGTAAATCTATACTATAATCTATACTAATACTATAAAGCTGAAGAGTTTGTTTGTTTGTTTACTTGAACGCGCTAATCTCAGGATCCGATTTGAAAAATTCTTTCAGTGTTAGATAGCCTATTTATTGAGGAAGGCTATAGACTATATACCATCACGCTACGAGTAATAGGTGCAGAGCAAAAATGAAAAATGTTGAGAAAAAGGGTTTTCATGCGTACGAAAGGGTTTTCACGTGTTTCGCGGGCACAGCTAGTTTACTATAATTTCATTTTGAGCTGTGTCATTTGCAATAAGTAAGTATGCATGCATACTACTAATTGCCTACTTATCGCTGCATATCATCTAATGATCATAAGCGATAAGAATGCAACAAAAGCCAAGCGTAAAAAATATTTATTCACTTCTAAAAATAAATAATTAACAAGAGTGTTTGTTTCTAACATGAAAACTTTGGCAGTCAGTTACAGACTTAAATTCAGAGCAGAACATTCTGTGGCAGAACTAAATAAAATGCAAAAATAAACGGATGCGGTGACAGTCTTGTAACCACTTTAATTTTAGTTTGTGAATTTTATGCATGATTGTTGTGATGAACAACGCAATGAAAACTGCATGATAAAAATGATAAATTGTGCTACTACAAAAACAAGTACCTACATACATACATTTTAGCATATTTTTTATCTATCTAAATATAAATACAACTCAAAAGTGAGTGACTGACTGACTGACTAGAGATATATCAACGCACAGCCCAAACCACTGGACGGATCGGGCTGAAATTTGGCATGCAGGTAGACGTTATGATGCGACGTAGGCATCCGCTAAGAAAGGATTTTACGAAACCACCCATAAGGGGGTAAAACGGGATCCACGCGTACGAAGTCGCGGGCGGCCGCTAGTGTAATATAAGAACCTATTATTTGTAAAAAAGTTTCGACACCATTCGAATCGCCTTTGATTGCGCAAAATTTGTCTTACTGAAAATGTTTTGTAAT